GAAGTGGGAAGACCCCACTGCCAAAAGAGGTCTTAGACTTTGTAAGGAAGCTAAATCAAAAAACAAACCCCAAATCTAAACTTTCTGCCCACAAATAATATTAAATATAATATCTAGGACCCTTTATAACAGCAGTTCTCAACCTGTGGGTCGAGACCCCTTTGGGGGTTGAATGACCCTTTCACAGGGATCGCCTAAGACCATCGGAAAACACATATATAATTAAATATTGTTTTTGTGATTGATCACTATGCTTTAATTATGTTCAATTTGTAACAATGAAAATACATCCTGCATATCAGATATTTACATTATGATTCATAACAGTAGCAAAATTACAGTTATGAAGTAGCAACGAAAATAATTTTATGGTTGGGGGTCACCACCACATGAGGAACTGTATTAAAGGGTCGTGGCATTAGGAAGGTTGAGAACCACTGCTGTATAAGAATACAACAATGTCCATCAGTTAGTTCCTGGGGGTAGAGAACCGACCCCTCAGCCTGGTCCTTACTGCCCTTTAACTCTACAAGACAAAGACAGGTTTGTACTGCGCTGGAGGCACCTGGAGAAAAGGAGGCCCTGGCTTGCAAGGTGGAGAGTGTGCCCCGCAGCAGAGGCGGGGTGCCCCCTGGGAGGCCCTGGGCTGGGGCTGTCCCTGAAAACAGCTGTCTCTTCAGGCTGGCATCCCTTATGCACAATGGATTTTGTTGTCTGAAGCAAAAACCCTTCCTTCCATGGTGTGCTGGTACCTAAATACCCCCCTTTATCCCTTTTGGCTTAAGCCAAGCTTCACCTTTGGAGTTTGCTAAAATAAAAATACTTCCGGAAGGAGGCATATGTTTAGTGTGATCAGACATTACATCTTAGTGTGAACGACTGTATTGGGTCTTCCCACTGAGAGGCTTTGGTGGAGTGGGTGGGGGGTGGGCAGGAAAGTGCAATGTCTGAAGGGAATGGTGGCTGAGCCAGAAAACCTGGGCTCAAGTCTCCACTCTGCAAGAGATCGCCACCCACAGGCTCACCTCGGTTCCCAGAATCCCACAGTGTACTGTTGAGACGAGCAAGCACTGCCAAGCACAGCATGTACCGGGATGGGGAGCCCCGATACCCAGGAATTGCTTCCTCATGCCAGCATTTTGGGGCCCTTACTCTGGCTCAGGGGCTTCTCCTGGACTTTGAGGAAGACAAGGGGAAAGGCAGAGGAGTGGCGGGCTCTGGCCCGACCAGGAAGAGACAGAATTTCCTGCAGGTGGTTGCCAAGGCTGATCCCCCGCTAGGATGATGTGTTTCTTGAGGTCAATGTGAACTCTTTAAATTGTCCTGCTGTCATCTCCGCCCAGATCTCCAAGATGCTGGGCAGCTGCCAGCACCCCTGTGCTCAGGATCCCCCCCCGCCACCACTCCAGGGCCCACCTGCATGCTGCCCCACCCTGAGGCTGAAGGGGCCAGGCTGTCTCCCTCCATGAGATGATTTAGGAAATGAGACCAGCTTGGTGGGCTTGCAGGGTTTTCTGCCAGAATTGGAGGCAGAAAAGTCTGGCCTTACTGGCCCTGCCCCCATCCCTGGCTCTGCCAGTGGTGGCATAGAAGCCATCTGTCGCTGTCCCAAGCTGGGCTGCTAGTGCCCCTCCTTTCTCTCCTGGCTCAGTGGCAAGCAGCCCCTCTCCCTCAGACCTGCCACTGGAGAGAGAAGGTAGGGTGCCCAGGGTCCCACAGGGGCAGAGTGAGAAGCCGACCACCCCTCCCTGCGGGCCTCCCAGTTCCCAGGAACGAGACACACCCATGGTCATTGCCATTCCGGTCACTGCAGGGGAGGGAGGGTTGCCCTGGAAGTCACCGAAGGAAGGTGGCAGGTGAGGACAACAGCGCTGGGCACATGCAGAATGATCCAGGGCAAGCACCCAGACTCTCATGGCCGAGGCTCTATGTTGTCAAACGTACTCAGTTGATTCGAGCCTGAGGAGCCCTGAGCACACACAGGGCGGAATCTTCCCTGTCATCTTGTCCCACCATTCAGCCCGGACAGGGCCAGGCAGGACTGAAAACTGTTCACTTCCTTGTTTCGGGAACTGCAGGCAGAACTCCCACAGCAGGGGATCTCTTAGATCAGTGGTTCTCAACCTTGGCTGCACATTAGAATCACCTGGGAATCTTTTTAAAATCCTGATTTCTGGGCCTCATCCTCCGGAAATTGTTTATTTGTTCATCCTCCGGAAATTCTGTTTCTTTGTTATGGGGTTTGTGGCCCCACCCCATAACAAAGAAACAGAATTTCCGGAGGATGAGGCCCAGAAATCAGGATTTTAAAAAGATTCCCTGGTGATTCTAATGTGCAGCCAAGGTTGAGAACCACTGTCTTAGAAACTGTCCAAATGTGTAATTTTCCTTTAATAACAGTCACCTTCAGCGGCCAGCCTGTCCCTGTGGGTGGGGTGCTCACGGCAGTGCCCTACGCCCTTCCAAGCTAACGTGTCTGCAAGTTAGCCCTCCCTCAGGGAAGAAAAAAGCTTTCCCAAGCACTGGGGTGCGGGGAGGTGAGCAGAAAGCTTTGGGAGAAAACCTGTGCCCTCCCCTCCCACCATATGGACCCCAAGCCCCTCTCCAGGGCTCTGGGCCCTGTCCGTAGCGAGCCATGCACGCGAGCTGCAGACCTGCTAGTGATGTGTCCCCTGGACGCGCTGAAAGGCACCCCTGAAGTGGCAAGTTTGCGGAGCACCTGCCTACAATGGGTTAAGTTAGAACAGCCAGTTCAGACTTCAAGACGAAGTCCTTTAGGTGGACAGGGAGGAGCTGTGTCCCCCTCTGGGCTCTGCCGGCGAGGGGCCTGGGCAAGGCTGAGACCCAAGGGCCGTCTCTGACCTTCCCCCCTGACGCCCTGAGCGCTGGGGAGGCCTTGTCCCGAGAAGGCCCAGCCGAGTGAGGTGGCACTCCACCTCCAGGCAAGGGGAGGGGCTCCCCACGCATCCTGCCAGCAGTTTATTCTCTGTCACCTGGGACTTGCAGCCCAGTGGGGAACATGGCCAGGACCAACGTGGGGGAGGACAGGGCACTGCAGAGGGGCTGGGTTGGGAGCGACAGAGCGACTGGGGCTGATTTACCTTTCCCCCAGTCTAGTCTGAGGTCAGCCTTACAAAGGAAGGGGGGGTCTTCAGTCTCACCCTCCTGAGTCCCCACCAGTGGGCAGCCCCCAGACCGTGACAGGGTCTGCAATACATGTTTGAAGGAGTCTGTGTTGGGTCTGAAGTCAATTCCCGATTCATGTGTTTTCCTGTCCAACTCAAGTCCTACAAACACTTGCTTCGAGATCCCACAGCCCGAGCTCTCTAAAAATGCATGGTTTTGAGAAGGTTCTCTGGCAGGCAAGAGGGCACCAAAGGGCCTGCAAGTGGCTTTTGCACCCATAGGTTCGGGATCCCTATGAATGTGGTCCCAGGGCCAACCATGGGAGCTAGAATTCCTGGAGACCCAACACTCACTTTTATAAGGGGCTTTAAAATTTCCGAAGTGCCTACATCACTCTTGGACTCCAGAAAAGGCCAAGAGCTGGTGGACCTAGCAACTGTGTTCTGAGGTATAATCTATTCCTCTACTCTTTTTACTTCACGTTGTGTTTTTCTCTAAGGAGGAGCATAAAAAAGTTCAGAGCAGTTCTGTCCACTGGCCAGTCCCTTGTGTTTGTGTGAGGCTGGATGAGGCAGCAAGGGCTCAGAATCTGACACCTTTCCAGTGAGATACCAGGCCCGCTAACCCGCTAACTGAGAAACACGTCACAAGAAACCAAGGATGGAGTTATGTCCTGCTTGGAGTTATGTCCTGGCAGTCTCTGCGGGGATTAGGTTAGGGCCATCATGAGGATGCTTAGTCCTAAAGAAAAAAGGAAACATTTTGAGGAATCTGCGAATTTTAACCGAGGATAGAGAAGAGATCTGGGTTCTGATAACCTCTTTCTTCCGAGACCCACTTTGGATTCGTGACTGAGTCTCGTTAAGTCACATAAATTGAGCATTGGTTGGACAAAGACCAGAACTACGTCTTTGCAGGGATGGACTGGCATAGATTATGGAGTGTTAGATAGTCATCAATTCTCAAGTTTAATAAAATGACAGATGGATAAGATCAGATGTGCATCTCATTAAGCTGAAGCCAGGAGTTTGGGGCAGACTTTAGTGATGTTTCTAAAGAAAGGACAGCTAGCACAGTAGGTAGGTGATCGAGAATTGTTTCTAAAGGTGTGGAATCTTAGGGAGATTAAGGAAATGAACTTGCTCTGAATCTGCAGGCATTTAACCTGCGGCAGCCCGACGATACATTCACGAAGAAGCTTTAAACAGATAAGCCATCATACTGGATGTAGAAATGTTCCAGCTTCCATAATTCTTTATTAAATATTTGACAAGTTGCATCACTTCTTTACAATGACTTCACTTTGTCACATGACTGTTTTGCTGTCAGGAAAACAATCTACAAGTTCTCATTCGATTGCTCAAGTAAAATGAAAAGCCCAAAGGATTCTGTTCTTAAACAAAAGTTTTCCTGTGTGTATCAAATGCAACCATATTTGAAAGCTACTCTGATTGTGAAAATGAGCATTGTCCATAAGTTGTCTTAAAAAATGTCAAAGTAGTTTGGTATTTAATCACTGTATCAAATAGTACTTGGCTTTTTCAGGTGGTGGGTTTATCAGACAAAGTTATGAAACACTGAGAATTCATTTGGAATGCTTGAAACTCTTTTCACCTTCAATGTCACTGTGTTTTTTTCATGTTTCATTTGATAATCGATCCTGAATAAATGACAGCATATTAACATCATCTTGGGGGGGGGTTCTCTCTGGCTCCGAGGGTCAGAATTCTCAGGGTACAGCTTGGAGAAAACCAGAAGGAACTAAGCTCTCACTCCCTTTCAAAACCAGACTGCTCAAGAAAGGCGTAAAAATGCTATACAAATATATACATATATATTTGGACAGCATATGTATGCATATTTGTATATAAATATTTTACATACATAGTAGAGAAAGAACAAAGTTACGCAGAACTATTACATGAAGGAAACCGTGACAATCTAGGTGAAATCAGTCTCAGTAGGAGCTGCAAACTGGCTTCTATGGGAACACAGATGTCTGCAGACACAGGGTCACGGTCACGAGAAAGGCTGGCGATGCACAGGTACAAGGCTGAGAACGCAATTCACAGAGGTCTGTGGCCAATGTCGTTGGAGTCCTATTGTGGCTCCTTACAAACAGACTAACCAACAGAAAGACATGCATTTTAAACATGCATTGCCGCGCGTTACACCTTTAAAGATGGAGAGATGTCTGATGAGAGGTTTTCTTGGAAAAGTTCACACAGAAAGCTCTCCTTTTCTATAAAACATTATACAGCTCACGTCCTAATGCTACGGCATTTTCTGACACACTGAAAACTCTCGTGTGTGTGTGTGTGTGTGTGTGTGTGTGTGTGTGTAGACATATGCAAGGGTATATACACTGTTCATTAAGGCTTAGATAAATTAAAAAAAAAAAGTGGTCCAAAGTATATCACATTTTCTTCCCAGTTTTAAAATCTAAAGTACAAAGTGAAGTTTGTAAGGATTTTTAAAAACACTTCTCAGACCTGAAATTGGCAGTTTTGACTTATCAGGATGTATCCCAAAGCCTGGATGCCAGAGAGGTAGTGATCTCCTGGGGTCAGGAAGGGAGCAGACCAGGCAGTTACCCTGCACAGTAGCACCCCCTATTGGCAAGGCGGAAAACGACACCAGACTGCACGTCCCTCCCCTCCCTGTCAGTCCAGGGGTGCAGACTCTGGGTGAGGAGGAAAGAGGCAAAGGAAGGACAGCTAGCACAGTAGGCAGGAGATCGAGAATTGTTTAACCCAGGCTCATTTTCTAGGTTTTAAAATTTCAGAGCTGAGAGATAAGACTTAGGAAAATACTAGTCAAGTGTTTAGCAATTAGCAATTGTTAGAACAATTAGTAATTTGTTGCATATGAACTTGGCTTTTAAGGGAGCCAATTTGGACCTGGCAAGATCAAACAGCAATAGTACATGCTGTCTATTTTTATCTTAACAATGTGAGATGGAGAAAGTGTTTCAAATGTTTTGCAAACCACTTTTCAGAAGGCGGGAGGAATAATCCGTGTCAGGTCTCTTGATAGCATTGGTCACCTGACGCTTAGGGAATACCTGATGTTAGCTACCAGGGGGCCCTGGAAACAACAAAGAGGCATCTCACACTGTGACCTGGCAGAGGCCTGGCTACAGGAAGGTAAATAATGGAAATGTTTGGGGAACTAGAGAGAAGAGCGCTGACGGGGAACACAGACACAACTTCCAAACAGACAAAGGCTCGTTGTTTCCTTTTCCCCAGGCAGCACAGCCCCTGAAGCTAATCCCACCAGGAGGACCTTCCTAATTGATCTCCAGGTCAACAAGAGGCAGGAAGAGAAACAGCCAGAACAGACGGTTGTGATAACTGATGTTCACAGACCTTCAACATGTAGTATGTAAACGGGGGAACTTACCTCCTAAACTCAAGGCAAACCGGCCCATGATAACCATGCCTTCTAGGAACTAACACACACATGTGGATTCAAGTGATTTCTAAGGAAACAGAGGCTCCCTGGACTCCGGAGCAGGGTCACTGCTGGGGACACCTAGAAAGGGTGACGCAGGCTGCTGACCAGAGCGGTGGAGGCCCATGGAATGACCCAGCCTTCCGCTCCTCACCTGACATGCTTTCTTTACTGCCTGCTGTCATTACGTCCCGAAGATGACGCAGAGTGGTCAAGATTTAGAGGAAACAAGAGATATGACTACTTTCAACAAGGAGTGAAACACAGAATTGTTGAGAACTAAGGAACCTTATTTGGATTACAAACAAGCAAAAATGAATCTCAAACCCAGCACTATTGAGCTGTTATTGAAATCAGATATTAAGGAATAGATGAACTGAACTGTCATTCACAATCACTGCTATTGAAATATTTATAGGGGCAATATGTGGATAATTCTCATCTGTTCCTGGTATACAGATTATCTTAGAGTGATTTTTTTCTTTCATATTTTTAATACTTTGTCTAACTTGCATTTAACAAATACTCTGATTTTGAATATATAATTTAAAAGTGATAGAAGACCCCCAGTCTTTATGCCAGAATTGCTGGATTTCTTCCCCTCCAGTCACATGATCACTCTCAGAACCCACCCAGCACGCTGCTCACCCAGGCTCTGGCACAAGTCTGACAAAGAAAGCTGACCCTGGACAAGGAGGGACTGTAAGAAGGGGTTTTGCCACTGAGACATTTGTTGGGGGCGGGGGGAGATTCCCACCAACAAATAAAAATACTGAGCAACACTGTGGTTTTTTCTCCCTAATTACTCAGGATCTACGTTTTCTGATCACTATTAGGTACTTTAAAGTCAATATGTAAAGGGAGCCAGTCCTCAGCTTGGCAGAAACCCACCTTCTTTAGACACCGTGGACTTTAGCTCATTTACAACCACAGACACACAGCTTCTCACAAGCCACAAAACAGAATTTCTTCCACCAAAAGGTCCTTCTTGCATAACAAACAGAGGCCCTAAAGCCACCATTTTTGTCTTATTTATGACTGGCGAGAGATCAGATCTCTAGTGTTCCCTGGTAACCACCGCAGGGTCTAGGACCTCACAGAGTAAGAAGGCCAGCAGGGCTGAACTCCCACACTGCCTCAGGTGATCTCTCAAAACAGAATTCTGCACCAGGAATTACAGCAGCAAAGGATCACACTGTGCACACATCCTCCACCCTGCCCCCCAACCAGCGCGACAGCCTGGCCACAGAGGGTTTCATCTGGCACATGACAGACACAGGCAGCCCACAGCACGGAAGCAGCATGCAACACACCACAGGGAACAAAGCTGGTTCAACCGCGTGCGTATTAAACCCATCTCTGAGCAGAAATCAAAAAATGATCGGCGAGGACAGGTCTGTCAGCTTAGCTTCACAGCCAGGTTCTATACACCAGCAGCCAGATTCACTGTTGACAGGTATGGCACCAGAAAGATGTGTGCAGGGAGAGAAATAATCATCAGATTTAATGTCCACAAGAAACAAAACACAAACCAAACCAGGTATGACCTCCACGTAGTACATAAAGTGCCTTCGGAATTGGTGCAGTTAGAACAACTGTGATCTAGCAATTATCAGCAAACGCGTACAACAGGAGACTAGACAGATCTGGTTTCCAGTTTCAGATCAGGCAGTGCCGAGTTTCATTCAAATAAATGTCTCTGCCCAGAACAGCAAAGAGGGAAATATAATAAAAGATAAAGTACAGCATCAGAAAGGGTTAAGTAATTTCTCCTATAAGAAATGACTGCCCAACCCCATCTCAAATGTGTTAGAACACCTGTGAGTACTTTAGGGAATAATGGTGTGATTCCTTCCAGTCAACACAAAATTTGTCATGCTATGGTACAATTCTCCCAGCCTGTAGCGATTATGCTAAATTTGTACAAAAAAATCTAATATCCACTTTGTTTTCATTTTGAGTATGGAAAAAATTATCATTATGCCTAATGTTATACTTTAAATGCTCTCAAAGTACTTGTCTGTAAGAACGATTTGGACATAAACCAGTCTTCCAGTTCTAATAAAGTCGAGCGTAGGGGTGTCAAAGTACTTCAAAAGCAAAAATGTCACAGACATTAAACCTGGCATCAAAGTCAAATACAAAAAAAATATATGCTCACTTTTCCAAGTACATGAGACATCTTTAATTGTAATGAAATGAAATCGGAAAATCGGTCTAAATCATTTTCAAAAAGTAAACATGAGTTGTAATACTATACCTGTAGAGTGATTAATTCCATTCATTGTCATTATAAAGTATGCAAAATATTTATTAAGGGCTTTGCCTATAGAGGCACAACATAAATAGAATTAAGTCCTCCTGAAATGTAATTAGTGTACACATCAACCAGATGATAATTCACGGTGGAAAATGCAGAAACGGGACCTGGGACTGGGTTCCCACGTCTGGACTTGGGCAAGTCACGGGCGAAGGCTCTGCTCCAGGAGCCATGCTGTGCAATGCTCCCTGCCATCGTCTCTGCAAAGTCCGTTAGGCAAATGCAAAAGTGCAAGCAGGACTTGCTGGACGAACCACCACCCGAGGCAGGGGCGCTTAATCCACTCCCTCAAATCCTTGAGCGTTTTCCACAGCCATGAGAAGTTTCTCTCGTAAATCTTCGAAGGTTTCATATGGAGGTAAGTCAAGGCGGTTAAAGCTGCAACAGCAACAAAAGTGTAGGTGAAAAGCCATCCTCAGTATCCTTTAGTTGTAACAGCATTTCCTAGATTTGGCTAAGGGGCATTTGGTGTTGGAGCAAGAGTATGCAAATGTCTTAAGTGAATTCTGATGATCAGAATATAAATGCTAGCGAGGAGACTGTCCACACCCAATAGGCTATATAACCTGCCGAGGAGAGAAAAGACTTTTCTAATAGTCCATGAAACCTCTCTACTCCAGTTCCATAGGAGACACTGACATACACTCTAAGATTTCAAAACCCTATAAACACAGAAGGTTTTATGCATTAGGAGTTCTGGATTCATGGAGCCGTGTCATTCCCGAATGCTCTCACTTCGACATCAGGCCCTGAGCCAACTGCTTGGTTTCACAGGCCTTGGTTTTCATCACAGGGTAGTGATCTCTCTGTTCTGCAGATGAGGGTCCTGACGCACAGAGAGGTCACATCACTGTGTCCGAGCTCTCGCCCCTGGCAGTGCGCAGACTCAAGACCAGCACCAGGCTGCCTGGGCTCCAGAACCAAAGCTAAGCTGCCTCCACCAATTAAGGTCAGGCAAGCAATAGACACGTGAAGTGAAAAGCTGTATTTATAAAAAGCCCTGATTTACCCTGAGGTTTCGTTTGGGGTGTACAAATCTCCCTGCTGGTAGGAGGCACACTTGTCTAAGAGACCAAGTTCAAAGTCTGGCTCAGCCACTTGCCAGATGTGTGACCTGGGCGGGCCACCATCCTCTCTGAGTCTGTCTGCTCTTTGGCGAAATGGAGAAAATGCTTGCAGGGTGCTGGAAGGGTCAAAACCGAGCATATGTAAGTGTCCTGGCACACAGCAAGTGCCCAGAGATGGTGAGCAATGATCATTCGCTCACCATTCACTGAGTGCCCACATGGGACATGAGGAGTGAGAGCCCCAGCCACAGGATTCATGCCTTGAGGGGGTGGACTGCTGACGTGTACCTGTCATGAAAATGGCCACCCACCTGTGCCACAGATAATGATGGTTTACCCTGTGCAGTCAGCACTGCTAAGTACTTTTCATTTACGATTTCAGTGAATCCTAGTAATTACCCTATAAGGTAGGTCTTGCTTCATCCCTAGTTGAGGCACAGAGAGGTTAGGTAACTTAGTCAAGGTCACACAGTAAGCATTAGAACTGGGATTCATACCTATGTTGGCTCCAAAGCCCAGTTCTAACCACTGTTTGTGCTGTCTCAGTGTATAAGACTGCTCCCTCCTGGCAATGACATATGATTCCAAGTTTGAAAAGCTAATGATTATCAGCAGCGGTAAAAAACACGCGTCCACAGTAGTTCCTTTACCAACCCCTGAAGTGTTTAATAAGACACACTAAGCTCTCGGATTTTTTAACAGCCTTAAACATTATGAGACATAGCAGAGAATACCACTGCTTCTCAGAGTGGAGTTCTCAGAAACCCAGGAATCCTAAAACAGTAAATCTAAAAGAAGTTTTTAATCTTGGTTTTCATTCTGATGACAACCTCGAGTATTATTTTACATTATAAAGACAGAACTCCATGACTGCAGACCCCACTTAAAAGAGCTGATCACAGAAGGTAGCTTCAGTATTAATATAAGTTGGTATTTCCATTGGGGCCTGCATTCCTTAGGGATCTGGAAATGCATTCTTGAAGGTCTGTGACCACTGTTTCCCCTCTAATATGACCCACTTCTTAGAATTGCAGTGACGTTATCGGTGAATACACACGAAGCGCTGAGGACAATGCCAGGAACACACTTAGTGCTTAATGAGTGTAGTTACCATTACCACCGAGGTCAGGGGGCCGGGGGCAGTCTAACTAACCGTGGACTTCCCTATCCTCCGTGGGCTGCAGTGTCTTCGTGGGTAAGATGGTGGGCCGAAGGGGATTGTTTTTAGAGTTGACAACAAAGAGCAGGTATTCTTAGTAAAGTGTAATGTGTGACCTTTGACAGGGCAATAAAATGAAGCCCTTTAAATATCGGACACCCAATAATTACATCTGAGAGAGTGATGGAAAGTGCCAGAAAGAACCAGATCTACCAGCCCTTGCTCTCCTGGTAAATCAGGTTTGCATTTTGAAGCTTAATTGTGTGTTTTATAGGAAACATGGAAGACATTAAACATACATATGGCTAAATCGGACTGTATAAGAAACTCTTGCTGTGAGGCAGCCAGCAAAGCTGGTTTCCTGCGTGACAGTCAGGTCCAGGCGAGGTTGGGAGACAGCCACGCACACAGAGAACAGAGTCCCGCCCTGCCAGCCAGTGTGGCTGCAATTAGCACTCCCCTGGGCCAGGCCCAGTTGTTCTGGGGAGAAGACCATCATTAGGAAGCCAGTCAAGGCATGTACCTGGGTTGCAGGTTTGACCTCCTCCCGCCTCCCCCGCTCCCTTCATTCTCTCTAAATATCAATGAAAAAAAAAATCCTTACTCCTTGGGTGAGAATAAAAAGATTAAAATACGGCTTGTTGACACGGGTACATTTTTGTCACTCACCATGTGTGAGCTCTGGGCAGTTTGTCAGGACTCCCCCATTGCTCTATTGTAAACAGTTGAGGACCATTGGAACCTAGACAAAAAGAGAAAGGGAAAGTGAATGCTAACAGTGCTCTAGGGAAGTATGTGACTAAGAAAGAGAGGGTGAGCCCAGACATTCTCTAGGACTGCAGCGTAATGTTTACTATTTAGCTGCAGGAAGCAAGAGGTTTGCACAACCTCACAGCACATGCTCTGTGTCACCTTCAGATGGAACTGAGCTGAAGAGACATCACAACAATGGAAGTGCGGGCTGCTACTGCCTTTCAGCCGAGCCTTGGGAGTTTAAATTTAAAACTACGTTTGGGGAAAAAGGAAACATAACCTTTAATACGCAGAGCAGAAAGTGTTACTTTTTTCGTCTATAGTAAGCACTGTGGAATCCTGCTCCCTGCAGGTGAGGTGTCCTGTCAACATTCAGTTTACAGCCATGTGGATGATTCTGCAGAAACTAGTTTTTAAAGATAGACCAAAAAACAAAATAAACAAACAAAAAAGACAAATAGTCTCCTGCTCACCATAAAGTTCAGCAAATCCATTCATAGGTACTCGGGACGTCCCCGTGACAAACTGCAGCAACCGGATACGCTTCTCAGCGTCCATCAGCAGCACAGCCTGGAAACAGAGGCAGAAGGTCACTATATCCCCACAGGACAGTTGGCACACCTTACTTCTACGGCAATGTAAGACCTAGGTGGCTGACTCTGAAAACGGTCCTTTTATTCTTAATGTCCATCACAATGCTGGCCTCTCTACTTTAGAGAGCAAGAGATCACAGTGTCTCTTTCTTCTTCTGCAATGAGTCAAAATAAGAGAGATAAAAAGCAGAGTCTCTGATGGCACCGAGCTCAGTTTCTGTTGTGTGAGGCCTGCCAGTTCCCTGAAAGCCAATGATAATAGACAGAATTTGAGACGTGTCAACACTGGGGGAACCCAGGTTATGAGGTGGGATTTCAGACTGTAGACAGATTCTTGAAAGATGACACTTAAAAAAGAAAAACAGAGCAAGGGATAGGCCTCTGAAATAATCTGTGTATCTTACATAATTGGGTTATTACAAGAATTGAGTTGGTAATGTTACTTGAACTGCTGTAAAAAAAACAAAAAATCCAAAATCAAAATTAAATGAGACTTGGACTAGTGTAGGGTTTGAAGAATCCACTTTTTTCTTTTTATCTCTGTCTCTGCTGGCACTTGAAATATTATTAAAATTAGCCATTTAGATATTAAAACAAGTGATGTGATTTCTTATCTCTGTAAAGCAAAAAATCATTTTTTTTTCTGTAACTGGTTTTTTAAAGTCACTTGACCATCTCTCCCTTGGACCCACTCATTCCCACTTCACTTCTCTCCTAAGCTAAGCAGAATGCAAACATTAGCCCTAAGATACTAAATAAAATTTCACTTGTAGCCTGAAAAATATAAAAGATCAAAATGTGTGTTGGAAATAACAAAACAAAAAAATTGGGAAAATGATTTTTTAACTGAAAATAATATCTTGGAAAAGCCAGCATCCAAAGCAGGTTTTTGCCCAGAGGCCTCCCATTCTTATTCACACATTGGAGGACTCCTGCAACTCTTGAATCCAATTACCTCCTTTTCAGAATCATCTACTCAATGGGTTCCTCAAACAGAAGCCACTTGAATCTGGGGGTTAAGGAAGGGCAGTGTGCTGTGGTAAGGATCAAGGATAGCTGTCCCTGGAGTTACACAAGGGCTGCTTCTAGCTCAGGTTTGCCTCTTCTCTCCGCCAGGAGCCCACGTACTGACAGAGCCCCAACTTGCGCAGCTAAACTAAAGCAAGACCGTGGGGAGGGCAGCAGAGCCCTCAGGCCTGACCCAGGTGGAGGAGCTGAGTGTGGGCCCAGGAGGCCCTGGCCTTACCTTCCAGAACCACTGAATGACAGGGTGGTTTGGGCAGTAGCCGTTCTTGTAGATAGTATGTTGTCTCCAGTCATTCACGTCCACATCGCCGAGGCCACACATCAGCAACTAGGAAAGAGAGAGAGCAGAATTGTAAACGGGGCACAACGTGAATGCCAAAGAAATCACACTCGGAGAGGTGGCCTTCCTCAGGGCCAGCATGCTGACCTGAGTTCACAGAAACAAATGCAGGGAATGTGTTCCACATTTTACCTGCCACTGCAGACCAGACAGCGTTGGTAACAAGGGGCCCAAGTCTAATGCCTGTACAGACCACACTTCCTGATGGAAATGGAAACTCCAGATTGATCATCTTTCCTCCCTCCCTCTCTAATCTGAGCACAGTGCTCATAGATTTTCTTATGCTCCATTTATATCTCCTCATTACCCTGGCTGTTTCCCCTTCTGAGAGGTTATTTGTCTCAATATTTGACACTATCTCCCCACCCACAAAAGAATTTGTGTGTTATGACAGCAAGACCTCATCTTGCCCCAATCAATCTATCCCGGGGAAGGGCAAATTACCCATCTGCCCAGTGACCCCAAAGCATGTTCTATGGAGGCAGACCTATTCTAATGTGGTAACCGGTTCACTGACTTAGCAGCTAGCCTTAAGTCTGCTTTTTAAATCATCTAACCCTCCTGTAGGGATGGTTTCCTGTGGACAAATGAACATGACATTCCTGCAGAGGCACTAAATGAAAAAGATAGAGAACTGAGCCAGATGCCTGACAACGGGATGCCTAGGCCTAACTGTGCCAAAACCTTGTTGGGTAAACCTATGAGGTCACTGACTTCTCCCTGCCTTAGTTTCCCCCACTCCCCCTTCCCCAGGCAAATGAAGGGCTTACACTATATGATGTCTATGACATCATCTACTTGAAGTTTCCATTTTAAGATAAAAGCACAAAAAGCCAGTCTACAAGACAAGCTTCTCTGGATGTGGTTTGGACAAATGACTAATTGAATCCCATCAACAGCTTCCGAACAGACTCAACCTTCCTCTCAACATCAAAAGAGAGAGTCATTTGCCTTTTAAAATATATATATATTTATATTGATTTCTGAGAGGAAGAGAGAGGGAGGGAGAGATAGAAACATCAGTGATGAGAATCATTGATTGGCTGCCTCCTGTACGCCCCCACCGGGAATCTAGCCTGCAACCTGGGCATGTGCCCTGACCAGGTACTGAACCGTGACCTCCTGGTTCATAGGTGGACATTCAACCACTGAGCCACACTGGCTGGGCTCCTTTGCTTTATAAATTGATAGTTCTCATCTACCTCAACACAAAGAAGCTGAAACAATTGAATATCAAACTACCTGTTGTTGACTTCTGACGTTTCTCCTCCCTTAACACAGACCACTTCAAGTTCACTGACAGGGTGGGTGGGTGGAGGGGGTGCAGCTGGGCCTTGGGAGAAGGGTGCTGCTACCCCAACTGGTGCTGCAACCCTGGCTCTACTAGAAGCAGTTTTCCTCACCTGGGGCAGTGGGCCATGCACCCAACCAGCTCAGGGGGCCTCTGCTTGTCCCGCCTGTCCCAGAACTGCCCTCTCCTGGACAAGGAATCTGCAGGTGACGACTCCTGCTGTTTCCTTACTCCCCGACTGGCAAACAAGCCCCTTACGAGACACGTAGTAGATTCACCTGAGCTGACGCCCCAGGACATTATGGATCAGAGAACGTTAAGATATCATTTATGAAGTAATAAGAAACTTAAAAAATCTAATTTACACAAAATGTTTACAATACAAACCTCCAGCTCATTTTCATCAAAAATTTTAATCAAATCGATAGGAAGCAGTTCTGTGAATCCCTGAAAGAAAAAAAAAATACCCTAAACACCTTTTTCCATAAAAGAGGCAAATTTTTCAGAAAAAACAAACTTTCTTGATTAGCCAGGAAAAAACACATTCTTTACTAATGATTTATATATCAGCAATAGCATCCATAGTTGCAATTCTAATAAAAACAGCCTAGTCATGATATAAAAATTTTGAAAAAGAATAGAATCTAGAAGGTTCAGATACTTGAGTGGTTTTTGAAGCCCTGTGAAAATACGGGATACTGTAGGCAGGCAGATTCCAGAAGTCACTTATGAGGCAGTCTGTGAGCCAGTGTGTCCTAAAATACACGTGCTATAGACACGCAAGAGGACACAGTTAAGAATCAGGTCCTGAAGGCACTAGATGAAACACACAAGGAGGCAGTGGGCTCGGTATAGGAGAGACCGGGGTGCCGAAGCCTGCTGTAGTGCACAGATAATGTCACTGCCAAGTGGAGGTGCCATGCCTTGGGCCTTAGTAGGGGCTGGGGTGTTTGTTTGTTTTTTTTTAGAGAGAGATTTGTTGTTCCACTTATTGGTTGTTCTTATATATGCCCTGACCAGAGATCTAACCCCATTGGCATATTGGGATGATGCTCTAACCAACTGAGCTACCTGGCCAGGGCAGGGCCAGATTTTTCAAAGTATAGAGCAGTGGTTCTCAACCTTCTGGCCCTTTAAATACAGTTCCTCATGTTGTGACCCAACCATAAATTATTTTCGTTGCTACTTCATAACTGTAATGTTGCTACTGTTATGAATCATAATGTAAATATCTGATATGCAGGACGGTCTTAGGCGACCCCTGTGAAAGGGTCGTTCAACCGCCAAAGGAGTCGCGACCCACAGGTTGAGAACCGCTGGTATAGAGGGATCAGGTGGGGTGGGGCCCAGGAATGTGCTTCTGGGTTTCTTATATAAAGTATGAAACCTGTTCTCAAGTGTATCTAACTCATACTTATGCCCCCAAGTCCCTGAAGTCTGGGGTTGGGGCTTCTTAATCACCAGGAGCTGGGGTAAATTTCGCATCAGTTCACTGGGAATTTATAATGTACTAGAGGCCGGGTGCATGAAAGTTCGTGCACTGGAGAGTTGGGAGTCCCTCAGCCCAGGCTGCCCCCTCTCACAGTCTGGGAGTCCTCAGGGGATGTCCTACTGATGGCTTAGGCCTGCTCCCTGTAATCTGGCCTCCCTCTTCGGGAGGCAACCGGGCTAATCAGGGGAAGGCGCCGCCCGTATCACCCCCGCTGCTGCCTGAGCCCTGGGCCTCACAGCTGCCGGGGCTAATGGATGTCCAGAAGACATCTGCCCTAATTAGCATATTACCCTTTTATTAGTATAGATAGTTGGGGCTTGTTTCTAGGTTTGCTTTGAGTAACTAATACCCATTATCAAGATTTAAGAAAGCATTTCACTTTGGGTCAAAGCGAAGCATTTTTAAAAATGACAAATCCATCCCCTCCAGGCCTCTCACAAGGGGTCTGGGGGCACCACTGACATCAAATCCTTGGATCTGAGAGATGCCTGCGCCCCATGTCATCCAGTGGAAGTTGGCACAAGGTGGTTGGCACTTTGCTCTAAGATAAAATTCAGCCTAAGAAAATATGTTTCCACGTGCTGCACAGGAGCGAAGTCTGTGAGGAGCCATGAAGACAGCATGAAGGGAACGGCTTTGCTACTGAGGAGTTTGATATGTTCAGTCCGAGTCCTCAGGCTTCGGAGGACCCATCAAGCAGTGCCAAAGGCAGAGGTGCATCTCCCAGCCTTCCCTTGGGCACCACCCAGAAATGCAGGCCAGTGGGTCTGGCTTCCATGGGGGCCTACCTCTGGTTCATGTTTGTAAAAAGTTCTCTTTAAAAAATGTTAAGGAACATTAAGACATAAGAAGCAAAGACGAGAGCACTAAACTAACAAAATGAAAGGGTGGCCACGTGGTGGCTGACACTCCTGCCCTGGGGACTGGTCCATGGTGCAGGCTGTGCGGCCCTGACCTTTGGGCCGTGTGTCCCCAGCCTGTGCCCATCATGTGGTGGGTGATCGTGCCCACCACACCGCCCTCAGGAGTGCCCTCTCTCCAGCTCTGACTCCAGACACAGTGGACAATCGTGGCCGCGCAGCTTACCTCCAAGAAGGCGTTCATTTGCTTCTGGACCCTGTTCACAAACCTCCACTGGATGACTAAGCTGCGGGAGAAAACGGAACAGTGTTTAAGCACCTTTGTCATCACAGCGCTCACGTCTTTCTTCACAGCTTCAATCGAGGCTCATCAGACAAAGGAGAGAAACCCCTACATCGGCAAAGGAAATCGGGGCTCCAGGGCTGTGGCATGCACTGTTTATTCATTAATTCTTTTGAGAGTAACTAGAACACATGTGAAAAACCTAAAATTCCACTCATGAGTTCAAAGAAATAGTTGATTTCTTTTTCTCCAGATTAAGGCTTAGTTTATATAAATTGCTTTATAAATGTGACTAAAGGTCATGGAATGTGAATACATATGCATATGTGAAGAACATGCATACACATATAAACTCACATATATACACGCCCACCTATGTATACATATGTACTTACATTTTTAAAGGGAGTACCAGTACAACATATTTTATCAAATGATATTTCACTCTAATAGACATTGTACCAATTTTCAACAATGACCTACAGTTTATAAGCAAAATGATGTACACTAATACTTTAATACTATAATATAGAGGATTAACGATAAGACCTCTTTATGTAACAAATCCACTGAAACCATCTCCCCCGTGACAATGTCTAGTGACAGCAGAGTTTATTGCCGGGCGAATCAACTTCGGATACCTTCTAAGGTGTTTTGTTGTGAAACAGCACAAGGACCTTGTCATCACTGCTCTCACCTTTGAGGGGGCACATGGCAACGGCCCTCGAGGACCAGCCCCCCTCACAGCCACTGCTCAGCCCCACCAGGCTTTTCTGTGCTGAGCTGCGGCCAGCAGCCCAAAGGCCTTCCTGCACCAGAGGCTTGCAGGTGTCAGGGAGCAGGTGGAGATTTCTATCATCCTTTTCTCAGCTAAGATAGCTGCGACTCTGCCCAACCCCACACCCACCAAATCTGAAACCTCAAGGAATTTACTGCAAGGAATGATGCACAACACATGTCACAATGTCTGAATCCCCAGTCACCTGGGTGGAGTGTTCTAAAAATCTATTCAAAGCCTGAACTTTCTGAATGAAGACAGCCTTGCTGGCCAGGGTGCTATCTGCTTGCTGAGATGGTCCAAGTTCAGGCCACCTGACATGCTGTTCAATGTAATAAAAAATTGTAAATGTACATATACGTACTCAATATATTCCCTTTTGTTTTCATTTGTAACCATTATTTCAGACCCATTGGGCTTCAGATCCACTTGATATGTCTGTAATTACAAAGACAAAACAATGGTCACCATCATGAAGTTATTCTGTGGATTATTACTGGGTAATAATGTCTCACTATAAGAGGAAGATAAGCAAAACTGATTCAGAAATATTTTCCAGGAAATAGGCGTTGTGTAAAAGAGGATGCTTAACAAGGTTTTTATGTTGTTAAAACACAGTTAAAGATGTTATCATTAAAGGCAAACTATTTTATGGTTGTGAGTTTTCATTATTCTTCAGACATTAGCAATAATGGAGAAGGAATTAATTGTGTTTACAGAAAAGACAGGGTATGTCCACTGAGACTAGAGACCCAAATCCTAATGTATTTTATTTGTTTTGGAAAATTAAATTTTATAGTCATAAAAAAAGATGTGTGGGATTTTTTTTTAAACAGGCAAAACTCAGGAACTTAAAGAAAGAAGCTTAAGACATGAGGCTGCAGAGAGGGATCTACCTGATTGTAAAGAGCAAAGCAACTGAGGTCGAGCCAGGGCCCTTTCCTGCGCGTGGGGCCAGCTAATACCAATGTGAACTTAGCAATGGCCAGCAGGAGGGGAAGGAGGGCGAAGCCGACTGTTTTACAAACAATAAGTGTCTTCTCATAGAAACTTTGGGGAAGCACATGGGTGTACAGTTTATTCTGTCTGGCATACGATGGCTGTGCAAACACACTGAAATTTGTTCATTTGAAACACTCCTAGTCGGTCCCAGAAACCAGCACTCCAGATTCTCATCAATCAGGATGAAAACAAATCACAAAATAATTTCAACAGCTGCAGTTTCATTACATGAAGCAATGGCTCCCACCACTTCATGGTCTGATTTTTCTAATTGTGGAATAAAAAAACAAAACAAAACACCGAGGAGGGCCAAGGGCACGGACACTTCACACCCGTGGTAGCTGCACTCCACTGAAGAAATGACCTGGTGTTGTGGCACGAGGGACACTTGGGCTTCCTCTTGGGTCAGAATAAACTGCACTGTCCAGTCACCAGCTCTGCTGAGGCTGAAAGCAGTGAGAGGCTTGCGCAGGTGTCTCTCTGATGCCCACAGTGTGGGTTCAATGACTCTATTTTGAGTGCCTACCTTATACCAGGCGGTACGCCAAGTAGTGTGGGCACAAAGGTAAGCGAAAAGCAGAACCCGTGCTGCCATCACCAAGACTGAGCCTGGTGGGAGAGGCAGATGCTAAACGCATAGTCACACAAATAAATGCCACATCACCCATGGTACATGCCCCAGGGGGACATGGGAGATTCTCTGAAGCATATGGCCTGGGTCTGATCTGAAGATGGGAGGCAGTGTGTTCCCAACAGAAGGAACAGCATGAGCAAAGATCCCGAGGCTCTGAGAAGGAACCTGGGACCAGACCCAGAACGCATGAGGGACAGCTGTACCTTCCCCGGAGATGGGCAGGCGGGGCCAGGCCATGCAGGACACCATGGGGCAAGTTAATCTCAAGGTCAGTGGGCAGTCTCTGTTTCTGGCAGAGGAATGACATGACACTTCGACATTCTGAAAAGACCACTATGGGAGGCCAAAGTGGATATAAAGAGATCAGTTAGGAGCTGTGAGACAAGATGGTAGCTTAGACTTGGGTGTTGGTGGTGAACAGTCAGGGACAAAACACAGATCTGAGAAAGACATGGAAGCTAAAAATGAACAGGCTTGGTGATGGATTGGATATGGAAGATGCGATCAGTATGTGGGTGCTTAATTCACTCTACATTTCTTCCCAGAATGAAGGATACATTTGTTCCCTGTTAATCAGGTTAGCTCTCTAAAAAAGCAAGGCAGTAATTTAACAAGTAGGGCACCTGATCATTAGCTTACTCATCTTGTGTGTCTGTTCTGATTACTGCGTTACTCTACCTTGTTCAGCTCAAAAGTCAGAAGTATCTACACTACAGTATTAAACCAAGAGATTTGAGAACTGTCTTTAATGAATAATTAACATGAACTATAATAATAATCAAAATCTTTATTAGAAGCTACTTAATAATCCAAATATCTTGTGTTTGGTTTTATTAGGTGGAAATAGTGACATTTCACTGTAACTAAAGTTTTTCCAGATCACCCGCTCATGCCTTTGGCATTGCTAATGTCTGCTGAACTGTGAGCAAACTTTTAATAATCTCTGAAGCAGTAAGGAATCAATCTATTTCATTTCCCATATGGCAATCTTTAAAATCGGCTCCATGATCTCATTCATTTCAAGGCCCTGAGACCTGGTCTGGGAGATGAGATTTCTCTCTGTGCTTCTGTGGAAGGACGGGTACCAGGGTTGGACATCCCTGAAAAGACCTCCCAAGATGCACTGTTATCAAAGGTTATCACAAATGAATCAGAGGTCCCAGGTTTAAGACAAACACATCCTACAGAACGTTCAGGTGGTGATGAAAATTCCTACCAGGTGACTTTTTCTTTGACATTAACCTTTCTGATTAATCTAGCCTTAATGGCAGTATGGGCACAAAGCAAGAAGGGATGGGAGAGAGACCTGAGCCTGCTGGGCCCCAGAAGACAAATGACAACAGAACCATTAAGGAGAGAAAAAAAGCCCACGTTCCCCAAAACATCACCTACTCCTGATTATGTAATTATATCATTGAGTAACACACTATTTTTCAAAGTACCTAAATTCTAAAACCAAGGCACAAACGTTTACGTTTTGCATTTTGCTTTAGATTAGAAGTAGGTACCCGTTCAGGCCCAGCGGCCTCAGAATATCTGTCACTTTGCTGGAATTGGGGCTTTGCTTTCTGGCTTAACAATACAATGCTGATACAATGAGATGATGACTAACAGCTAATGCTCCTGGTGGCAGTTTTTAATTGTCCAGAAAAGTTGTGTTACAACCTGTGCAAAAGCAAGACTTTCTAAAAGTTGGAGAGGGGCTCCTGGGGCTCCCCGGACATACCTGCCCAAAGTTTTCTTCATCGATACAGAACATGAGGTCCAGTTCAGTGGGATCATTCTCTAGGATCCATTTCAAAGAGTTGTAGTATTCACTATCCTAGAGAAGTGACACAGACACTAAAATTAAGCTTCTTTTTTTTCTCCAAAATACAAACTTGTTTGACTTTAAATAATTCAGTCCTTCTAATGTAATTCCCCGCACATTGCTCAAGAATTGTATTAGTCTCTAATGTTTTCTGCTCTACTTCAAACCTACTTAAAATACAAATTAAAAATGTGTTTTAGTAGCAGCAGGGTTTGTAGTTGAATCCTGTCCTCGGTGAAGTGGAGAGGAAGCAACCTGCTCTGGATGGCGGTCATCAAATTATACAATCGAACATGGAAGATGAATATACTTCCTGTCTCTGAAGAGTGAAAATATCAAAGGACAACAGGAAGGATGAGAACATTCTAACTAAGTAAATAATTAGCTTACTCATCTTGTGTGTCTGTTCTGATTACTGTGTTACTCTACCTTGTTCAGCTCAAAAGTCAGAAGAATCTACACTACAGTATTAAACCAAGAGATCTGAGAACTGTCTTTAATGAATAATTAACATGAACTATAATAATAATCACAATATCCTAGGAACTATGCTAAAATTGCCAAGGCATTTTTGCTGATTTTACAGCAGTTTAGGAAAAAAATTATGAATCGCAAGTAAATGAAGTTACATATTCAAAAACTTAAGGAAACCTTTACTACATTGACATATTTAGCAATATCATCATCACTAATAAAAGCAGACTTAGAACTGGACGCCATTGCGAAGCTTTGATAGCGCTCCCGGCACTTTTGGCGAAAGACAAGAGGAGCGCAATTGCGCTCCCCGGCACTCTAGGGGTTAAGTCCCACCTCTTTCTGTGCTTGCACTGCTCTCTGCAAGTCAGTGTAAGTGGGACCCAGAACGCAAGCCGCAAGGGCCTGGCCTCCCCTCTCTCAGGGATTCCAGTGCTGGGATTGGAGCCAGGTTCAAACCTGCAACTCTGATCTGTGCCCTCGATGGGAAATCCAACCCTTGAAACTTAGGTGTGGGTTGCCAATGCTCTAACCACTGAGCAGGGCCCAAAATGCTTTTCAGAAAACTTCTCAAAGCATTCATTTCCTAACTTGTTTATTACTCCCCACCTAGTCACTCACCCCTTCCACGTTTAGAACGACTGTATGTATTCTTCCCTTTATCTACTGCTTTGGCCTGTGCCTTGCCATTTTCTGAGGTCAGAAAACAGGAATAGCAGACAAGTCTCTAAATGTTCAGTATTAGCAGTTTCCATGGAAAACAAGAGCTGCCAAGAGGTCTCCAGGTGACCCTGGGATTTAACCCCTTGAGTGCCGGGGAGCGCGATTGAGTTCCTCCTGTCTTTTGCCAAAAGTGCCGGAAGCGCTATTAAAGCGTAGGAATGGCGTCCAGTTCTAAGTCTGCTTTTATTAGTGATGATGATATTGCTAAATATGTCAATGTAGTAAAGGTTTCCTTAAGTTTTTGAGTATGTAACTTCATTTACTTGCGATTCATAATTTTTTTTCCTAAACTGCTGTAAAATCAGCAAAAATGCCTTGGCAATTTTAGCATAGTTCCTAGGGTATTGGTTGGCACTCAAAGGGTTAAGCTTGTCACACCAGTCCCAGGTAAGCAGAGGTAACTGAGGTTTGCGTTATCCAACTCAAGAACCATGCTTCTAGTTAATGGGAACCATGATTTGCTTATTAGAAAAATTAGGGAGATCAATTAAACTCTTGAACAATTAAATGGTCCCTATTATTGACACTGAATGGAGAAACCCATAGAAAGCGCTGTGACAACATGTCACAGCTTCCTTCCGCAAGACACAGGTGGCCCACGACACCCAGTGGGAGGATCTGCCTTCACTCACCACAGATTCCATGTCATTCAGAGTTATCTGCTTTCCCAGCATCATTTTGTAAAACGGTCTAATGAAGAAACCTAAAACAGGATGAAAACTGGATTAGTTTCAAGTCGTTGATATTACTGTGCAACAGAAATGAAATACAAGCTGAACCTGCCTTCAATTTGAATGAGACCAGGAGAGGACAATCAAAGACCTTCTGTAGTATCTGTGACCCACTAGACCAGGGCCTGGTGGTGGTTGTTTTTTTGTTTGTTTTGTTCTGTTTTTTGTTTTTTGAGGGGTGGTGGGTAGTAAGGAGGATAGTTATACTTGTAGAGGTGGTACAGCAGAAAGGGGTCAAAAAGGCTCCTGGGGGTGACAAACAAGCCTCAAGGCCTGGCTAGAATTTTCAGTGTAAACAAGGCACATGAATAGGGGACAGAGGGCACTCTAAGTGAGGGACAAGATCGGGACTTGTGAGTGGTCTGTCAGGGAGGAAGCACAAGGTGTCCTGGGGAGGACAGGCTAGAGAAGGGACTGGGGAGTGGGCAGCTTGTGTGGGGTGCGGGGCAGTTTGGGCTGCTGCCTGAATGAGGGCCCCGGGCAGTCCCTGGAAGGCCAGGTGATTTCATCTGCATATCAGGACCACTCCTGGGGCAGGCATGGGTAAAAAGCAGGAAGGGGACAAGAGGACATGAGGGAGACCACTTAGGAGGCTTTGCAATCTTCTAGGGCAGGGATGATGAAGGCCTGAGTGAGGCAATGGCAGTGAGGACACCATCACCCAGGTGTTCCGCAGGGCCCCCCAATCCACCTGTCCACAGGCAGGTCAGCATCACATGCCTCCTCATTGGGGTGTTGGAACCTCAGCCCCCACCCCCATCTAATCAGTCACCAACCCTCTGCAGCGTATTCCTATTCACACTGGCTCAGGTGGCCCTAGGCTGTAGACTCAAACATAAAGGTTTCCTTAAGTTTTTGAATATGTAACTTCATTTACTTGCGATTCATAATTTTTTTTCCTAAACTGCTGTAAAATCAGCAAAAATGCCTTGGCAATTTTAGCATAGTTCCTAGGGTATTGGTTGGCACTCAAAGGGTTAAGCTTGTCACACCAGTCCCAGGTAAGCAGAGGTAACTGAGGTTTGCGTTATCCAACTCAAGAACCATGCTTCTAGTTAATGGGAACCATGATTTGCTTATTAGAAAAATTAGGGAGATCAATTAAACTCTTGAACAATTAAATGGTCCCTATTATTGACACTGAATGGAGAAACCCATAGAAAGCGCTGTGACAACATGTCACAGCTGCCTTCCGCAAGACACAGGTGGCCCACGACACCCAGTGGGAGGATCTGCCTTCACTCACCACAGATTCCATGTCATTCAGAGTTATCTGCTTTCCCAGCATCATTTTGTAAAACGGTCTAATGAAGAAACCTAAAACAGGATGAAAACTGGATTAGTTTCAAGTCGTTGATATTACTGTGCAACAGAAATGAAATACAAGCTGAACCTGCCTTCAATTTGAATGAGACCAGGAGAGGACAATCAAAGACCTTCTGTAGTATCTGTGACCCACTAGACCAGGGCCTGGTGGTGGTTGTTTTTTTTGTTTTTTTGTTTTGTTTTTTGTTTTTTGAGGGGTGGTGGGTAGTAAGGAGGATAGTTATACTTGTAGAGGTGGTACAGCAGAAAGGGGTCAAAAAGGCTCCTGGGGGTGACAAACAAGCCTCAAGGCCTGGCTAGAATTTTCAGTGTAAACAAGGCACATGAATAGGGGACAGAGGGCACTCTAAGTGAGGGACAAGATCGGGACTTGTGAGTGGTCTGTCAGGGAGGAAGCACAAGGTGTCCTGGGGAGGACAGGCTAGAGAAGGGACTGGGGAGTGGGCAGCTTGTGTGGGGTGCGGGGCAGTTTGGGCTGCTGCCTGAATGAGGGCCCCGGGCAGTCCCTGGAAGGCCAGGTGATTTCATCTCCATATCAGGACCACTCCTGGGGCAGGCATGGGGAAAAAGCAGGAAGGGGACAAGAGGACATGAGGAGACCACTTAGGAGGCTTTGCAATCTTCTAGGGCAGGGATGATGAAGGCCTGAGTGAGGCAATGGCAGTGAGGACACCATCACCCAGGTGTTCCGCAGGGCCCCCCAATCCACCTGTCCACAGGCAGGTCAGCATCACATGCCTCCTCATTGGGGTGTTGGAACCTCAGCCCCCACCCCCATCTAATCAGTCACCAACCCTCTGCAGCGTATTCCTATTCACACTGGCTCAGGTGGCCCTAGGCTGTAGACTCAAACACCTTCGGTGTCTCAGGAGGCAGAGGATGAAGCCGATACAAGGGAGTGTGGGCTGGCTGTGGCATATGTGTACTCTGCCTACAGGGGCATTCGCATTTTTAAGGGCATTTTGGTCCTCAATTCTGCAATTCCTGACGTACACTGGTATCACCTTTGGCAGTAGTGTCCTAGATTCCCCCACTTGTTCCTGCTGCTTTCCATTACTCCCTCCATAAGCCTTGACTCAGCCAATCCTTGCTCTTCTGAAATGGTCCCAGCTTCTAAATGTTCAAATCCCCCCCACCCCCAACCCCTCGAAAGCTGGGCCTAATCCTGTTGAAGTGCTCTGGGCCCTCCAGGCAAATCAGGGTTTCCTCATTTCCTTGTTGGATCCCCTATGGCCCTTCCGATTGGACTCTGTCACTTACGATTTTTGTTTGCCCACTAGATTTTAAGTTCACTGAGTCAGGATCATATCTGACACTTCTATTTCCCCACAGCCACTAAGGATGTGTTCTCACTTGGCAGAAGGTGTACAGACTGACCTTCTAAGAAAAGGATGAAGTGAATTTGAACAGCTGAAATAATCTATGGCACGACGCCAGTGTAGCAAATTAAAATATATTCACACAGCGTACATATACAGAAAGAGTGCCGTTTCTTTCCCATGAAAAAAAATTGCTTATTTCCCCCAAGTAAAAATAACACATTGAAATCAGAGGATCAAAATCAGCCAGCAAGTACCAGTAAAAATATACTAAAGGATGAAGTACAGAGGGTACATCAATTATTTACTGGAATAGCTAAGGTTCCACAGACACAATTAACATTACTTCCCTGCACCTCTCTCTATAGTAGCTGTATTGCCAACCTCAAATCTTATTCTCTCTTCTATCCTCAACAATTTTATCCCCAAATCTTTCAAAAATATTTTAAATTCCCCTTCAATGATTTAAATAGTGTCCTTTCTCAAGGGCAATACTTTGGAAATGACCAAATACATAAGAACTCTCTATTACAAGCCTAATAGATATGGCCAGGGGAGGGGTCTGACTTCTAACAAGGGACCCTGAGATTCTTCCATGGCTTACATGTTTTAAATAAGAACGAGATTACTTTGTGCCATTTGTGGGTCAAGGTCTTAGCTCAGCATAACATTACTGACAGTCTCTTACCATTCAAATAAAAATAATAAATATTTACAGTCTCTTCACATTCAAATAAAATAACAATTTGAAACAACAGCAGAATAACGATGAATCTGATCATTTTGATTAACTTTTCAATTAGCTTTTCCATCTGTCACCAAATCTAGCTCTCCCTAAAAATATGAGAAGTTGTTCTTAAAAGCAAAAAACAATCACAGAATGTTCTGTGCTTCACACTTGTTTGTTTTGTAAAAAATTTTTAAACTGTGTAGACACTATACTGTCAGTGCTCAAATTAAGATGACTCCAGTGAAAAACACCTCCGTTACAGGCAAAACATAAAAATAATTGAATTACACAGAACCAGTGGAGCTTTTGCTTAACATCTATGATGGGAAAGATGAGTCACCTAATAAGGAACCATAAATAACACTGTCCTATTTTGATGACTTCAAAACTTTTTAATAACTTACCATCTAAAAGTTTCCCATGAAATACTGCCAGACCAGCCACTCTTCCAATAAAAGTGAAATAGGACAAATGGTCTTCATTACAGAGGCCTGAATTGGGGTTGATCTGAAGTGTGTAGTTGTCCCTTGGGGGAGGAAGAGAGAGAAAAAGCCCAATTGTATTTTTAAAGAAGAAACACAAAAATCTGCATCTTTCTTTGCTGCCTGTCATTAGCTTTTATGGTGCTAATGCTTTTTTTGCAGATACTCTGCTCCTGATGGGGAAAGGCATGAGCTAGGGAATGGGACTTACCATTTAGTTAGCCTCTTTCTGTCACCAACGACTGAGTTCCCCTGGAGTTGGTGCACATGCCCTTTGTAAGTTAAACCGTAAGAGAGTGTTGATATTTGACTATTTTTGATTTACATAAATGTCAGTTGCATATGGTTCAGCCAAGTATCTTGGGAAGGTGCGAATCACCACATAATAAAGGGACTGTGCACGGATTGCAATGATGTGAGTACTTACTTCAGGTTCTCCGAGGAGAAGGAGGATTTGTTCCTTTGAGAGGCATGTGGTTTGGAGATGAACATTTTTCCTTCGGGCCCAATGTTTGGTCTGACCACCGCTGGGCCCTGACAGCCCCAAGGGCATTGGTAACAGCATATGGCTGTCTTAAAACCATAAACCACAAAAATGTTTACATGTCCGTCTCTGATCTCAAAATCATGAGGATCACTGGTTTTCCAATTGGGCTCCATAGACAGATTCTTTTAGGGGATCTGAGAGGTGAGGATCCTGTCCCCTTCTCCCTTCTTGCCCTGCCTGCCACTTCAATGGTTGTGATCAATTTTACATAGTGATCTTTCTCATGGGACAATAAACAAGCTGGGTGATTCTTGGCTAGAACAACTGGGCAGGATCCTGAGTCTGCCTTCCAACAGAGCCCCAGGAGAGAGTGGGAGATGTGGAAGAATCCATGTCCCTTAGACTCTAGCAAGGTTGCCTTTTGGCAAGGCCAACAACTACTCTACAGGTACTTGTGTTCACAGCCTGCAGGAGGAGCGGTGGCCTGGTAAGCAGGCAATGTTGGAGTCCTGAGAAAGCAGCTGAGTCTGTTTCAGTTTCCATGCCGGGCAATGATGAAGTCCTAATGCCCAGGGAACCTGGTTCTTCCCTTACAGGACCAGGGCGCCGTCCTTTGGAGCCAGAAGAATAGGTCCTCCTCAAAGTCATCATAATTTGCCTTTAACTAGTGTTCCTTCAGAAACTATTTTTGTCCATGAGATGACAATGACTATCTGAATTCTGACATTGACAAATTCTCCTGAATTAACATAACATTACGAATGAAAATTGCCTCTTGTTCCTTACCATAAGTACTCAGCATACTTTTAATTTCAATTAAGTGAACCCAACAGACAAGAGAAAAATCGTTTTTTGGCGTTCAGAGTACATTATCTCATCAGGTAGAGTCAGAACCTGTTCTAGACTTATGGGGTGTGTGGGTTGGTGGTAAAGGGGAGTGGGGACTGAAAACAGCAGTGTTAATTCATTTCAAATGAGTGAGCCACTTACTCTTTCACAAGCTGAAACTATCAAGAATAAAACTGTTTCAGTGGGACACATTCTGAATTTGCTCCATATACTTACGTTGCGGAGTATTCGAAGAGACCATAGTAGGGGTTGAACATCTCTTTGGACAGTAAGAAGAACCATTCTCTGGCCACACCCCCATAGTCGAGACCTTTCTCTGATTCAAATTCAATCCACAGTCTAGCTTTTAGGACATCTGGTCTTTTCACAGACATGATCCTCCGATAGGACTCTTCAAAAATGTTATTTCTGTGAAGTTTCATTTCAAATCTATTTGGAATATCAGCCTACACAAAAGAAAAAAAAAGCACATAATCATACACTAAATATGCACTTTACTTCACAGGAGAGAAACGATGGCAGTCTTCAAATAAACCAGCAGGGAAGAATGGTTCCAACTGAGCGTCCCTCCCTTATGGAGGTTTCCTTGCACAGTCAGAAAGCCTCACTGAGACAAACAGCGGCCACCAGCAGCCATCAGACTGAGCCGGCAGCATGTGCTGCAGAAGAAAGTCTGCTGAGCAGTCATCTTCCCCGTTTATGAACAATTGTGGGGTGCTTAAACGCCCAGCAGCAACTGAAACATGGTTAACTGTATATACTGTTTCTGTCAAGGGAAGTGACTTCAGTCCAAGCAATCAAAACCCTCAATAGTCCCCACCTGGCCAGGATGGGAGCATGCTAAACTCCAGCTGGTAGGCACGGTCCACACGCTGATTCTGCTACCATGGGGAGTGGGACCCTGATGATCATGCCAAATTGTGGGAAAGCATCCCACAGTCCATAGTTAATAAATATGAAAACAAAAAAGCACTTGACAGGTTGTAACTGCTTCCTGGAAAAATGAGGGATAGGGCAGCTTTGCCATGAAACAGATTTGCAGAGTCAGTGAAAGTGCCACCCGGAGTGACACAGAGTGAAGTCCCTAAAGTCACCCCTTATGACTAGGGGAATGCAGGTGACTCACTGAGAAACTGGGGATTTTATGTGTTTAAACTTGAGTCATTTCAAAAGCAGTCACCAAGAGCTAGTTGCATGAGGATGTTGGGAGGACAGAACTCCTAAGTGGGAGCTCCCGAGGCAGAGGCTGTCTCTCTTGCATCTCTATCCCCAGTGCCGCACCCAGAGCAGATGCCTCAAAAGTGAGGCTCCGACTGAGGATTGGAGCAGGAGAGACAGTGATGGAGCACAGGCAAACTGGGGAGACCTGAGTGAGGGTCTTTCCCCAGTGGGAAGAAGCCGAGAAATGGTGACACCAAACAACACAAAACATCCCAGACCCCAAACAGTGAATGCACAAACGGAGAAGAAAACTGGTAAAACCTGTATCACAGAAGTGAAATAACAAAGTAAAACGGAAAACCTATATTGAAATATTTGGGATGATGTGTCAGTAGAAAATACTGTGATTTAAATCACTGCCTGTAAAAACCTTATTGGGTTTCTCAGTTTTGTAGAAATTGTATAGGGTTTCCCATTGAGAATTTTCATTTGAAAATTACACTTAGTCTTAATATACCAAATATAATCAAATATTATAAATCGTACTGTAGTAAGTATAATTAAAATTATACTTCTGAATTTAAAGGGAAGGGCTTGAACATTTTTCTAACTAGGATCTAGGTTTTATTAAATAGGATAACCATAACAACTGCATAGACTTCTCAGAATTTTTCGACTAGATCCTAAATTATTCTATTTCCCATAAAATCATTTCTATCTTTTTACATATTACATAAGAAATTACCCTTCAGGTGATTTGATATGTAATACCAGCCAATCTTCACTTACCATTTCTGTTAAAAAGAAAATTCAGGTGGAAGATCCAGGCGGATCAAAGTGCAGTAAAAAAAGGAAGTTTATATTCTTAGTACACACAGAAAAATAACAAACAAGTCGCTTGCACTGAAGTAACTTTGGTAACTTACAAAGGACTGAAATAGCATTTTTGGAAGACATGTTACTCACAGGTTTCTTTAATTTCTTCCTAAAGTAGTCATATTTCTGCTTAAATTCTCTGGAGTAAGGAACCGCCTAGAAGATAAATTTATACATGTAAATGAGGGGAAATAACACTTGCAACTTTATGTAAACTGAGCCAACATTCAGAGAACTTCATTAATCATACACCTTAAAATTCTCATTCTCCATATTATCATTGAAATTAATATGTCTATGTATATAGCACATGGGAAAGTTCTAGAAATGATTAAGGCAGCATTGAATAGGGCGGCTTTCACCCCTGAAAACAACTATGTTGATATTTAATAAGTCATTTAGGGATACGCTACATAAAATACACTTTCCAATGTGACTTCTGTCTGGATATGAGTCAGGTGTAATCTTTATTTTTCTCCTGTCATTGAGATAAGAGTTGGCTATGACATTTTAACATACAACCCCAATGACCAATGACTAATCCTGCTTTTAAAAATCTTTGGGAGGAAATATAATGAGCAGAAAAGCAACTGGACTGACATTCTGATCAAGGACTGTAAGACCAGGTAGAGAGCACTCAGGAAAAGTCTCCCATTTGGGGGTCAGAAGGTTTGCCTCTTACTATTTAGTAAGTAGTCTTGGGTGAGGGTTTCTTTATATCTTAATGCCTTATCTGTGAAGCAGAGTTACGGTATCACAGGAGTGGGCTCGGTAACTGAGCTATCATTACTCAAAAATTCTGGAATCTCTTTAGGCAAATAACATTTTAATATAGTCATTTAAATATTCTCTATTTGCTATGTTATAAAGTAGCTTACAATAGCCAGAGTCCTGACTTCAGGCTATTGAAAAGGCTTACCTTTTTTTTTTTTTTTTTTTTTTTTTTTTTTTTTTTTTAATGAAGCAGAGAGGACTGGCTTTTGCATATACATGGACATAACTATGGCAGCCTCAAACTCAGAATGACTCATTGCTTTTTTGGCAAATAGTGTGCATTCGGGCAAGAATATTTCTGCTGATATAATTTGGGGCTAAGTTAATAAAATATACTGATCCTTAGAAAAGTGTCTCCAGACTCCAAACCTTCTACCTTCACCTTCTTATTCTTGTCCAGAAAGAGGAGAAATGAAAAACATAAGCCTCCCTCCTTTCTACTGTTTTTAAGACGATCACACAAATAACTCAGCCAAAACAAAAACATATAACCAGTCATAGCAAACACTGATCATGCCAGTGTTTTGCTTTGTAATTCAAGAGCAACAGACATCATATTGATATATCTTAAGACAATTTATACTACGAATGGTTTTAGTTTTCAACCCACTCTTTATTTGCTTTTCCACTGAACACTGGATTTGACCACATATCATATTTATTCTGGACAGTGTTTAGTCTGATGAAATCGTGTGTGAATTTTTATTCTAGGAAAGGTAGAAACTTTGTCACTATCTGGACAACTAACTACTAGTATAAGAAAAAGGAGACAATGTTGTGAAATAAGCCAATAAAGACATTATGATGTTGTTTGCTCTAGCAATACTATATCGCATAACAAAAGCTTTTCTATCCAGTTTATTTATTCATTCTTTGGTGGTTCATTTGCTAATTCATTCAACAGGTATTACTTAGTCTGTGCCAGGCATTTTAGGTGCTAGAGAAATAATGGTACATCAACCAAAGAATTCTTGCCCTATTCTCTCCCGGAGATTACAAGCAATTGGGAGCAATAGGTAATAAATAAGAAATAAGTGAATAAGTAGTGATAAACACTATAAGAAAAAAAATGATAGAGTTCCCGGGAGGCTATTTTATATGAGGTGGTTAGGAAAGGCAGTTCTGAGAAAGGGATACCTGAGCAGAAACCAGTGACCAGAGGGAACAAATTTTGACAGGGACAGTGGGTGCAAAACCTTGAGAAGGCAAAGTGTTTGGTTGATGTTCTATGATTAACTGTAATAGAGGGGAAATAACCTAAAAATGGATTTCCTTTCATTATCCCTTGCCAGCTTTAGAAAACCTGACTTCTAGGACAGACTCCTGCCAGCTAGCTCCATGACAACCTCTCCTTGATGGCACTACTTCCCAGTTACGCAGAAGGATTTGAAGAGATGAACTTTAAGGTCCTTCCATTTCTACAAATCTACGATTCCCAGCAATTATTCTTTGTTTTGGTTCCGCCCTTGAAAATGTTAAAAAAAGGCTTAAACATTCATCCTTGTAAAGTTTGTCTTAAAGGACAAATTTCCCATGAAATTTACTGCAAATTGCCCCTAGCTCGTGATATCTGACTTATCATTCCCTTGTCTGACTTATAACATGGTAGGTGCTGACTAGATGTGGGTGGAAGTGAGATACTGGGATATTTCTGGCCTTTCTTCTTAAGTGGAATGATGCATGAAGGTTGAAAAATCATTATCCTCCTCCATCTAGAGGTAGTTCTGATAATGGAATAAGGAGAGGAGGTTTTTAACTCCTCCTCCTGAAAAGATCCAAATAATGTCACAGGACAAAGATGTCCCTATGTGCAGCCTCTGAACACAATTATGTGTGTCATGTATTTCTTGTTTTGGCCAAATTATTTATTCTCTTTTGAAAATATGACACCTTATTTTCTTACACATACAGTGGGGCCTTGACTTACGAGTGTCCTGACTAACGAGTTTTTTGAGATACCAGCTGTCTCTCGGCGGATTTTTTGCATTGAGTTGATAGAGTAATTTGAGTTAACGAGCTCCTTACGAGCTCGGTCTCGGAACGAATTAAACTCGTAAGTCAAGGCCCCACTGTAATTTAATTTGTAAGATAAGCCTATTTAAAAATAATCACAGGCCCTTTTGCTCAGCATCACATATTCTTTCTCTCTTGAGCAAAATGAGAACCTGACTTAGTGTGTAAGACGGTTCTACATGTTTTCATGTCATTATTGTCCAGTTGGTTCTGGAGTCTTCTGTAGAGAAAGGCTCATGTCTGGCCTGGGGACAATGGTGAGGTTAGCACAACTGGGGCTCTAGTCCCAAGTCTGACATTTGCTGTAAGTTTTGGCAACACAATTCGCTTTCTGATCTTTTGACAAACTGGGAATAACAACATCTTCCCTATCATTCCGAGAGGGTGGCTGAGAGTGTCAAAGCAGCTGATTATAAAGTTCTCAGAAAAGTACAAAGTGTCACACAAGCACAAGATAGTACTCATAAGAGCAGCAAGCATGGGGAGCACTTTACAAATGCTTTCAATGGTGATGTTTGCTATACAGACAGCGTATTGACGTACAATAATGTGTGCTGGGCGGACACAGAAAGGGTCCCCTCCCCCATAATATATATTTTTAAAATTTGGGAAAAAGAGAAACTCTAGGTACCAGATAAACAGAAAGACTCAAAATAGAGAACTAAGTGGGCACTGGACCTAGACACAGGTGCTGGGGCTTGGGTTTTAACCCTCATGGGGGCACAGAACTTGGCCAACAGTCTGCATGACTAGGCAGTCAGAACAGAGTTCCCTGCTAAAACTTACACCTGAAAAGGGGACAAGAAAACTCTACCCACTGGCCCAGGAAAGTTGCAAGGAAGCTTACCTTCTGTCCAGGACCATAAATGGAAGAAAAAGAAAAAGAAACAGACCTGTAATAAATTCATACTCCAAGGCTACACCAAAGTGGGTATGAAATCCATAGTTATGGTAATTGGGGGTGAATGAAGCCAAGGTAAGTAGTTAACAGAAAATACAGGTCAGAACTTATAAAAGCCCCATGTGGAAAAAAAAAATGAAGATGAGCATACACACAAATTCTAAATGGAACTAGGTAATAAACTACCATTGAGGAGAGTCTACAGATATAACATCTGGGCATAGTTTATATTCCTGGGACCAGAGTTAATAGGATAATCTGAAAAAGGCTATAAAGAGGCTATTTTAAGAATGATTAAAGAGTTGGAAGTATCAATAAAAATAAAAAAAATAAAGAACAGGACAGAAAAATAGCTAAAAAGACTAAGCAAATTTAAAAAGAGCAGATAGAACTTTGAGCAATTAAACAGTCACCGAAATAATAGAGAAAATGAACTGATAAAGAGATTATATAAAGAGCTTAAGAAAGACTTAACTGGAAGAGCTGAGCCCATTATATACAGCAATAAAGAGAGGCAGACATGTGAAAGCTAAGAGATAAGATAGTTGTGAAAGTGAATCAATTACCCAAAGTTACTGATACAGATATTTTGAAAGAATGTGAAAGATGCAACAAGTAAAGACATAACCGCTGAGAATTTTCCAGAATGAAGAAAAGACATGGTCCCCATACTGAAGAATCACAATGAGTTCAAGGCAGAATAAATTTTTAAAAACCCACACTTACAATACAGTAAACTTGCAGAACATCAAAGACACAGATAAAAATTCAAAATCATCAAAGAGAGTTACCTATAAAAAAAGATAATTGATTGGCAACTTCTCATAATTAGTTAAGAAGATCAGAAGATATGAAAAAATATCTCCAAAGATCTGAAGAAAAATAACTGTTAACCAAGAATTTTATAATGAATGAGCTAAACTATCATTTCACAGAGAGGTCAAGTAAGTCCTCTCAGACTAAGCGAGTTGACCACTCAGGCTCCCACTGAATTTGCTGTTAGAGCAGAGGTTCTCGAACTTGGGTGAACATCAAAATCCCTGGGAGGGTTTGTTAAAAGAAAGATTGCTGGACCTACTCCCAAAGTTGCTAGTTTTCAGTAGGTCTGGGATGGGGCCCCAAATCTGCATCTCTAACAAGTTTCTGGACGATAGTGATCTGTAGACCACACTTTGAGAATTATGAGCTAGAGGTTATATGTCATTAAGAACAAAACTTAACCTAGAAAAAAGGGGATGTAAAGATCAGTGGTGGGCAAAGAAATCTGTTTACATCTAAGTAAAATTAAGTAAGTACTGACTGCTAAAAAAAAGAAAATATAAAATACTAATGAGAATTTGGAAAGTTTAAAGACAAGGTAGTTGTTTTTTAAATCCTGGATTTTTAGAGGGAGTAAGGGAAGGAGGCAGGGGGAGAGGGAGAGAGGAGCGAGGGGAGAGAGAGGAGCCAGGGAGAGGGAGAGGGGATAGGGGGGAGGGAGAGGGAGAGGGAGAGAAACATTGACTGGTTGCCTACCGTAGGCGCCCTGACTGGAGATTGAACTGGCAATCTTTTGGTGTACAGGATGACACTCCAACCAACTGAGTCATCCAGCCAGGGCTAAACAGAAGGTAGTTTTAAAACTCCACTGAACAATGAGAAATAGGAGTGGGAAGAATGGCACTAACGTTCCCTCAAGTCCTATATTATCCAGGAGGAGAGTAGAGAGTGATTAATTTCGACATTAAGTCAATTATGTCAGTTAAAAATTTTAATGTGAGCACTAAGAGCACTGAAATAGAAAATACAACTTCCAAGCAAGTATTAAAAAATGAAAGAAAATAAAGTGTACTCTATCAATCTAATAGAAGGTAAGAAAAGAAAAAACACAGCAAGAGACAGAAAATATGTCCTAGACAAATACTAATGGAGAGAAAATGAATGTAATGATTGATGAAGCCAGTCACCGTGGGAGTTTGACACAGCTATCTTGGTTAGATAAAACAGCCAGGAAAACAGTAGAAATCGAAATGGATAATTTGAACACCACAGGCTTGATCTAATGGTATACATATAAAGAACTGTTCTATACCCAAGAAAGACAGAACATACATTCTTTTCAAACTCAAAAGAACATTTACAAAAAATGGCCAAGCCTCCAAAGACGTATTGCATATCTGATAATCAATATTCTATATTCAATATTCTCTGACCATATGCAATACAATTAGAAATCAATAAGAAACAGGCAAAAATTCTCCCATAGTTTTAGAAACTAAAAAGCACATTCTAAATAACTTAAAAGCCAAGGAGAAAAATCATATGGAAATGACCAAATATTTAGGATTAAATGATGACAAAAGCCAAATGTCTACACTAAGTTGATAATTACCTAAATAAACATACTCTTCTTATTGAAAGAAATGACACTAATAAGGATAAGAGTAAACCAACCTCTTTAAGTCGAGATCACTTTTGGGGCCAAATCTATCTGGATTTATGCTAGATAATTTTCAATAGTAACAAGACTACGTGCTTGACTGAATGTAGATGATCAATAAACCATAAAAAAGATTTGAAAAAGACTGAGAAATATCATGTCAAAAGTCCTCTGCTAATTGAAAACAGCTCTGTTTACTGAATTTACCTGTTGCTCATGATGGAGAAGAGAAAATGCTATTCTAACAACTTATTGTGATTACGAATAAATAAAAATGAAAGCCATGGTAGAATGGCAGGCATTTATTAAGCTCCATGGAAAAAAAGTAATTGACTGTTTTAACCCAGGCATTACTAGGCATGTTGTAAAATGCAGAAAGCAGCAGAGTAAACAAAATGAACAGATCCAACAGGTAATTAAAAGATGACAGCGATCAAGTGCACTTGCATTCTAATATCATTTAAGTTTTCAAATGGACTTACCTTTATAATCAAAACATAATTTGAACTGAATCAGATCAAAGCCATGACATTAGTATTTTAAAAATACCCATTGGCCTCTTAGCTCAGTGCTCAAAATATAATAAATGTAACTTCCTCCAGTTTTTAAAAGAACCCCACATTTGCCATCTTCTGTGATTCCAGTATCTTTCCTGAAATTCCAAATCATCTCCTTGCACTCTTGTAACCACCGACACGAGGTGCTAGTACATTCCCCGCCGATGAGATGAGCGTGGCCCCCACTCTACAAACTCCACCCAGGAGCTGGATACCAAGTGTCCATTACTGCCGAGTGACCAGGGGTTCTCACTCTTCCTTATGAACACTGTGTGGCAGCATTTCAAGGGGGCAGCACCATACCTAAGGCAGAACTCGTTCTTTTCCCACCTGGTACACACGAAGGGACTATGAGAAAGTTAGTGGGTCAGCGGAGATAAAGATTCTTATCTTATCTGCCAGCTCCAGAGGTTAGCGACAACCTCCCCCAAACCTTTACAGAGTTTCAGCGCTGGAAGAGATTCAGAATACAGCTTAGATTTGGTTAGCATGCATGAACTGCCCTTGGCCTAGAGAAATGACAAAACTCTGCAAACACAGGGCTGGCTTTGCCTCATAGAGAAAGGAAGAGAGGACAATTTGATTGTTTCACTTATATTTTATTATTTTTAAAATACTTATTATTTATTTGTAATCCTCACCTGAGGATATGTTTTACTGATTTTTAGAGAGAGGGGAAGGGAGAGAGAGAGAAATAGAAACAGAGAGACAGACAGAGAGAGACATGGATGTATGAGAGAAACAGCGAGTAGGTGTCTTTCCGTACACGCCCCACCGGGGATCGAACCCACAACCTTTCAGTGTACAGGATGATGCTCCAACCAACTGAGCCACACCGGCCAGGGTTGATTGTTACACTTATAATCCATCCTTTTATAAATGAGAAAAGAAAATGTTTAGTTTAGCTACCACGATCACATCATTTTCTTTTCCTTTATAATGAAAGCCACATGAAAAGGCAAATGTAGTTGTACCTCACCAGGAAACTCCCATCAGGAGGAGATGGGAGTAATGTTACATTACTCAATTACACCAAGGTGAGCAGTAATATACAAGAAATGTGTGTTTTGATACAACCAAAATATTACACTGAAGATTCAGAACTTGAGAATACTGACCGGGCCAGTAATAGCTGGATTCTGCAGTCTTGGGTCTTCCCACTGAGTTATTTTGCTATCTGAAAATTAATATTAAAAAAATCAGCATATTTGTTGAAATCTATTCTATGTAAAAAATGTTTTAGAAATAATTATTTCTTGTTTTTCAAAAGCTGTCTAGTCCCCCAACCTGGCCCCCGAAGAGAATATCTTAGTATTTCAGGGTTAGAAGAGAACGATACTCTGTATGGCAGACCTCCTATGTAATGTTTAGTTAAAAACAATCAAAAACGCACAACTAAAGTAAAACCATCTATTTACACTGTTTTTGGCAAGCAATCTGCTGAAAGTTCAATTATAAACCCCTGTTCTTTCAAGGATTTATAATTTGATCTTGATATTCATTTAATTGAAAAAAGGCACAAAAAGTCTTAGTCCGCCAAAAGTTAACACACACACATTACTTTTTCTCATTTCAAATACTTTTGCTTATGCTTATGGTCTTGAAAAACTGCTTTCAATTAAGAGTCCTACACTGAACAAATGAATAATCCATTGCATGTGTCACTCATATGCACACAACAATGGAAGCGGCCAATAAGTAAGGCAGTCCAAAAAAAGGAGAATTACATACTGCAGAGGAAGATTCTAGAGAAAGGCTTCCCTTTTGGCCATGTTGGTGAGAAGTGGTTTTCTTTCTTTCAAAAGAGTCAATGTTAACAAAATTGTTCAAAGCCACCTACACCACTACTTCAGTGGTACAGGTGATAATGAACAAGAGCTGCCCTGCATCACTTGGGATTTGTGACTCTGCATAATCAAAAAGACTTTATGGATTACTGTGTGTGTGTGGGGGGGGGGCGGGCAGAGATGAACGCACATGAAAGATAATGTGGAGGATAGACTGGGGAAGAATGAGTTCTTTCTGGAGTTTTAGGAAATCTAAGTTGATTTAAAAAAATGGGAAATTATTTGAGAAAAATACTGATTCTAATTATTTCCTGTAAACTCAAGAATAACTAATACATTTGGTTTAAATGACCATACCAGGGACTTTTCAGAGTCTGGTATTAAAATTATTTTAATAGAAGCAGAGTAAAGTCTTAAAATAAAGTTACCAAAGCACATGATGATTCTAGATTTGTGTATGCTGGAAGACAATTTACATGAAATGCTTCAACTGTTCTAGAGAACCTTGATGGGTCCCTTACCTTGAAAATGGAAGATTTGGAAAGTAAAAGTTGCTACTGTGATGGAGAACAATAGAAAAGAAAACCAAATAATGGAAACATAAAAGAGCTGAGCAATAACTGCCTTGGACTATCACTGTAAGGACTGGGTATTGTCATCAAAGCAGAAAATAAATTAATAACTACCTGTACATGACAACTCCCAAATCTTCAGTCCAAACCTCAATTTCAAGCGCCACCCTTGACATCTGCATCTAGATTCCCCATAGGTACCTTCAACCCAACTTTTTAAAAATTGAACCCATAATCTTCCAACACCAAAACCGTTTATGGAATCCTGTATTCTCGATTAACAGTATCACAATCCATTCACTGTTCAAATCTGGAATCTTGACACATCCCTTTTCTTCCCTCGCCATTTACCTCTGGTGGTGACCAAACTGTCCCTACTTCTTTCTGGGTGCTCATCTTTCCCTGGACCATTCTCTAGGTTTCCCTGGTCTCAGTCTTATCCCTGTTCAAAACTCTCTATGTAGCTCTGCCAAAAGGATCTTTCTAAAGAACAAATCTGACCACTGTCACCTCCTCTGGAAAATCCCTCAGGAGCTCCCTCTTGCCTGCAGAAGGGACCGACACCTGGCAGACCGCCTTTAACTTGATGGGTGTGCCACCCCCGCTTTCTCTGCACACTGGCCATGGGCAACCTTGCTGCACTTCTCTGCACAGCTTCATACACCTGCACACCTTCTCCCTGCTGGAATCACTTTTCACTGGGTGTGCGTGACTAGTCTTATTCATCATTTGGAATATGCCTGAAGAGTGATCCATTCCATAAGGCCTTCCTGCAGTCTCCCCCATCCCTGGTGCCCTGCGCCACTTGGCAAGCAGGTACACTCTTTTGCCTCTACTGCTTTCACATTAACAAGGGGTTCTTTCTTCTAATACAGCATTTAATACTCCCTGGTACTCCCTGCTAGAATCTAAGTCCCTCGATGACGGGGTGTATGTTATTCCTCTCTGCAGCTTCCTCTCCACCACTTAACACATTTCCTAGCCTAATATGTAACAGGAGTCCAATATGTTATTATTTTTAATGACCAAATGAAGCTGATGGTGATAACAAAGTTCCTTTACGGTTGGCTAAGCTCTCAGTAATATACAAGTTTCTGCGTGGTTACCATAAAGATCAATTTTGCAAGTATTGTCAATTTTTGAACATATGGTGGCCAGTTATCCATTTTTTTCCTCTAGAATTTTAAAAATCTAAACTTGCTTTGTCTTCAAGACATTTTTTCAAATAAAGGGACAAGAATGAAGTAGAAGAATGAGAAACTCAGTCAATTTAGCTACTGTTTACTGGTTTGGTAAAGGCTATGGGCAGAATAGACTCAAATAGGATTTTACAGCATCGCTAGAATTTAATTTTCTCTTCTAGTTTAGTATATAAGATATCTGTGGCCAATTCCTCAGCTGCTGGGCATGTCTGGTCTTTAAGAAGAATCACACAATTCCTAAGAGAGGCAGAGATTCCGTTCAAGATCTTCCCTTGACCTTTTGCACCAGGCTTGAGACATAGGAGCCATTCGATAAATGTCAACTAAATAAATCAAGGCGTCTAAAGAGAAGATTAGTACTGAGCATTATCTCTTCTGAGATTAAATCTTTAAAGTTGTTGAAATTATAAATCTTAAAAATGTCTAATGTCTTAAGAATTTATGAAGCAGAAAATAAACAGCATAATTATTTAAAAGAGAAGGGCATTGCTGTCCCTGTCATTCAGAGTGCAGCCACCTGTCCCAGTGATGCTGGCAGACAGGGCAGCTGAGTAACTCTCAAGGCGATCACTTTCACAGTAAATGGCTCATATAAGGATGACCTGGTTTCTATCCCAAGACAGCAAAATGAGATGCTGAATTTTGGCAGAAATCAGATGTGGGAAAACTGTTTAGAAAAAGAGGTTCATTTGGAAGGTAAGGAAATTCCTCAATGTCACCACCAGGTAACTAGACCCATTTTGGAGTGTACCTATTAGGCTGATAAAGCCTCTTAAAAAGATAAGAATTCTGCATTTTTTATAAACTGGATTTTGGGGAAAAGGCAGATGAATTGAACTCTGTTTCACAAAAGCCTAAAAGATGGTGATAAGCCCCGCCCTCATGGCCAGATTCCCCAGCAACTGGCTCATCAATGTGCTTATCTAATCAGTGTGATGAGTTAAGACAATGTGAGGCTGGGGAAACCTGGTTCAGACTTACTGTTTATGAATCAAATGACAACAAGGAGCAAAATACTACCACACTGCATGTGTGATTTGAACTTTAAATCTATTTAAAGACTTCTTTTTCCTATACATTTTCAGAAGTTGTAAGGGATGTGCAAATATGGAGAACGTGTTACTTCAAGAAAGAAAAAAACTGGCTAAACGCAAACCTTTATTAGTTTTAGTTGAAATGAGAAATCACACATTTTTCATAGGTGCTGGAGCAAATGTCTACAGCAAATATATCACAATTTCAAGAAAAGAACTGCATATATATTAGTGTGTTGGGTGCAAGGAAACATGCTATGAATAGAAAATAAGTCAGAATGGGCACCTGGCCCTGAGACCGTGAAGGTGGTGTTTAAAACACACGTGTGCTGCGTCAAGCACCGCACACACCCAGATTTTGGACTCAATCATCACTTCTAATCTTATTTTCTATTACCAGAGTGTATTTATTAAAAGCGCAAAAGTCAAGGGGTCATCAACCAAAAAATAGTTCTTAAATAAAAAAAAAGTTAATAGGTCACAAGATCAAATTGGGTGAAAGCTTGCTGGGCTACTTTACAGCAAACGTGGGGGGAATGCACAGTACCGTACGAGGGCACTGATTCTCTGGTACCATTCTCTCCACATAACACCTGGCTGCCTAGACAAAGAGTAAAATGACAAAGCTTTCACTCTAATATTTGAAATACCCTTCCCCTCCCTTTACCTGCAATCCCTGTGTCCATAACAGTGCCTACTTACTATGATCGATATAAAATGTTCGGCCATCCAAGTGGATTCTTTCTTCCCACCCGGGCTAGTATCGAGAGAGAGAGAGAGAGAGAGAGAGAGAGGAGAGAGAGAAGAGGAGAGAGAGAGAAAGAAAGAGAGAGAGAGAATGCAAAAATTAGTTAGCTGTTCCAAAATCAAAGGCAAAATTATGACACCTTACTCTTCCCTCCTAGGGTACAGTTTTGCATTAAGAATAAACCACAAACATTTCAAGTTAACCCTCAACAACATCTAGGAACACACTTGAAGCACACATCCACAGTCTTGGATGCGTTCACCACTTGAGCAGGAAACAGGGATCGCTATTTCAAAAGCTTCAAATGGGAACTTTGGCATCCCATGGAACAGTTGAGTTTGGGGATGAACAGCTCACTTAATTAAACAAATATGTACTAAGTACTAAAAGGAGGAGGAGGAGGGATAATACAAAAATGTTGGAGACAGATGCTTTACTCATGTCATCACTGGTTGAAGAATCGAATACTTGCACTTCACTGTTGTGTACTCTCACTGTTCAAACTCGGGAACCAAAAAGACTTGTTTAATCTTTTCAAGGGAGGGCTGGTATGCTCTCATTGTCTGAACCGCACCTACTTGCTACTTGAAACTCAGGAACCTAACAGGTCCAGACCACAGGCAATGATTTCCTTTTGAAACTCACTCTCTAGACACAGTTTGGGCTCTCTCATCTAAACCCAGAACCAGTCAGATTTGCAGAGGGATATTTGTATAACCTAATGAATAAAGATGGAATCACAACCTCCCTAGCTTCAAATTTTGCCATAATATACCACACACCAGGCAACAGAAAAGGTTCTTATGTTTGGAAAAAAACAATAAAAAAATTCCCAGTGCTCTTCATTTAAAAATTGTATTAGAATCTTCCCTCCCCTTCCTGCCCCTGTAAGGTTATTTATTTTTAATTGGGGGTGGGTCAAGGAGGATGCATGGCGAAATTTTCATTCAAAATCCAGTTTTGTAGTAAATTGCTCAATCCCATTCAGGCTCCCAAAAAGAACTGATAAAAAATTAGCTTTATAAACAGCCATCAACCAGGGAGGAAAGCTTAAAATATCTGCAGACTAAATGACTTACAAAACTTTCTGTGATTACCTATGTCTTTCTCTCCCACCATTTTTAATATTTTTGTTCCTATTCATTAAATCAGATTATGGGTTGAACTTATGGTTGCTATGTTACAAAATAAATGTGTGCTGTTTAAATTGCCATCAGTAAAGAATGCCTCCTACATCCTAGTTACAAGGTCTACCTTCCACTGACAGTTACCAATTCAGAAACCTCTTTCATATGTACTAGCTGGTTGTATGTATGATTAGAATCCAGCCATACACCTGATTCTATTAAGAAATTATAGACCAATGGGCCAAAAGTCTGGAGAAAGAGGTCACAGGGCCTCTCCATCAACACTAGGCAGATAAATGAATAAACATATTCAGACGTGTCCACGTGTCTCCAGTACGTATACTCACAGGCAGAGGGCCAAGGTCATTGGGGTTTAAAGGTGCCTTCGATCGCAAATGTACTGGAAATTTCAGGCGTGGATCTTCCTGCAAGAAAAATGTAAAAGGCAGAACGTGTTAAGAGTGACGTCTGTGTGCTGTTACTGGCTCCTCCCCTTCTGGAGCTGTATGTTCCAAGGCAACCAGGAGGCATGTGCATGAGCCACACTCCTGCCTGCACAGCGGAGGGAGGGTCCCATCTTTGAACAGGAAGCCTGGCTGACCATCTCTCAAAAGAGACTCCATTCTTCCTCCTTGTCCTTGGTGAAAGAAAGAGAGTAAGGACATTTAAATAAAAGGTTAACATTTTCCCAAGATCTTGAGCAGGTGAAGAGGAAGAAGGACCCAGCAGTGATGTTACTATGGAAACCAGAATAAAGGGTGCCAGCGAAGAGGAGGCTCTCCTCCACAGAAGAGGGAGCGAAAGCCTGGTCTGTAAATCTCCCTATGGATCCAGAGCTGCGGGTGAGGGTGGCTAGCCTCACACACTGGAACAGCCTCTCCATGAGCACTGGAGTCCCCTGCTTCCCTCTCCCACCCCTCCCTGAACCAGAGCAGGGAATCTGAAGCTGGTCTGCCTGGCAGGTCAGGAGCGATCCCAGAGAGCACTGGCTGGCTTCGTCATAAAGTCACATCCCTATTAGACAACTGGACTGAGGCTCTCCAGTTCTACAGATTAGATTCTCATGTATGTCTGAATATTTACAAGTTTGCAAAATATTTTTCTTAAGGAATGTGCTTAAGATACCACAGAAAATCAACAAAAGAGAAATACATAGTTGGCCATTTTGGTTCATGATTTATAATTGACAAAGTAATCAGACATACGATCTTGCAACCACATTCTTAGGAGGTGGGGTACATGATCTCTGTTTCTTTAGATGGGGAAACTGAGTTTCAGAAAGAATGAGACCTTGTCCAGAGGTTCTGACCCTGAATCTGGGAGCTGCCTCTTATATAGGCTCTGTGAAAATGCAAGGCATTTTCATATTTTAAACTCAAAAGGTTAGAAAACAAATGATAAAACTCAGAATAATAAAATGTTAATAAAATAAGCCTAAGATTTAAAAAAATCCTGGAATAAAACTTATTTTGTGACTATTAGTGGGAATGGGGTTTCCCTTGGGGGTGACAAAAATGTTCTAAAATTGATTATGGTGATGGCTGCACATTTTGTCCAATGTTTGTCCAAAACCCATTCAATTGTACAATTTAAATGGGTGAATTGATTGGTATGTGAATCATATCTCAATAAAGCCGTTAAGTTTTTTTTCCCAGTCAACAGTCTTAAAGCACTAGAATTACTGGATTATAACAAAGTGACAGAATTTTGGAATTTGCAAGAATAAAAAAATAAAACCAAGCTTTGCTTTCTGTTAGCTATAGCAAACTTTTAATTGAAAAAAATAATCGTGTTAGTGGTTTATGATGGATATTGACCCTGAACCTCACTAATATGCTTTTAAAAAGGATGAGTAAAAACATAAAATAGGTCCAGTATTCTGTAGATTACTGGAACACATACAGTGCGTAGATACATTACACAGATTTGGGATTTATTAAGTCCGAACAGCTGATATTCTGGGAAACATTTGTGATAGGTTCACTGTGACCAAGGAGAAACTTACAGAGCACAGAACAAAAGCTACCCACTCACGGCTAACTGTGAGCTGGCCCAGCTAATGGCACAACCACGGGGAACCTAGGGAACAGATCCCTGACCACGAAGGTTTAGAGAAAGCCGAAGGCCACTATGACATGAAAAAGGACAGGGCTTCCGATGCGACATGCCAAGCTAGCCACACCTTTGAATCCCACACACAGGCTACTGAGAAAGACAACATGTTAAAAGGTGGTGATTTAAAGGGGGGAAGAAGCTGAAATTAAAGTGCCAATGGGGCTGGGGGCAGGGAAGTATAAAGTATAAAATAAATCCGATTTCACAGGTCTGCTATAATGGCCTCTCATGGAAACCTAGAATTCATGGAATGTGAGGACTAGAAGGCCTTAGGGGTCATATTTGATTATATCAACAAAAATAAAAATGACAGCAGCTGTACTCTCTTTAGCTCTGAAGGCTAAGTCTAGGGGCAACACTGAACTCCCTTTCTCCACTGACTCCCCTGAACAACCAAGGAGGGGGCACCCCAAGCCGATGGTGCAGTTGGAGGGCAGCCAGGGCTCCACATGAGTTATGACAACTTCAGGGATGCCAATAGTTGGGAAACTAATGAGATCTCAAATGATATAAATACAAATGAATGAAACATGAAGAGGGACACTCAATTGTTTCTCCCTTTCCTCAGCTCACTATTTCCCAGTTATTTCAGTATTCCCCATTTGCTTCCCTCAATATAGCATAAAGGGGTTTTAAAAAGAATGCAAAGATCAACACCTCTTTAAAAACCAAAATCATTTACAAATATATATATAGCACATAAAACAAGGGAATGCTCCTGGTTCAAAAAACAACAGCTTTCCCCCCCATCCTGGAAGAGATCAACAACCAGGCCTCGGCTACAATGAGTTTTCTTAGTTTGGACCCAGTAGAAAACAAACCTGAAACTTCATTAAGGCATACTCTGTCTTGCTACAAAAACAAGGCAATGCTTTGTTCTGTAAGAGACATAAACGTACTCTTACATACATGCTTCGAGCTTCTTCCTTAACAGAAGGAAGGAATGGACAAACCGAAGGCCTCTTGTAACCTTTCCTCTGTCACCTGGTGGCCCCCAGCAGGCATCCATGGCCCACCCCAGGTAGGGACAAGTGAACCAATGGCTGGAAGTCTGGCCACAGGAATCCTCACATGGCCAGGGCTTAGTGCCTCTTCTAGGTGTTACTAAGGATGAGAGCATGGTGGACAGACCTTCGCTTTCAGGCTGAGGCCTCAGACGTTATTCCAGATGGACGGCGGGCACACTGCTTTAATATGAGATCGTGCTTTGTAAACAGACTTCAACAGGAACTTTCCTCCATGCGTGTACACAGGGGAAATGTTGGCCTGATCTTTTCATGCTCTGGTTTAGTGCAAGAATCAAGAGCACACAGGCTGAGGGGGGGGCAGGAGTACTGTTTTCATTATTCTCCACCTGTTCTACCAGCTTTTCACCATAGGGCTCAAATCTAAGAAAAGCTATGCTGGCCTCTCATTTGTTCTCTCTTTTAAAAAACGAAGCAAGCCCAGCCACTGAGGCTCAGTGGTTGAGTGTCAACCCATGAATCAGAAGATCACAGTTTGATTCCCAGTCAGGGCACATGCCCAGGTTTCAGGCTTGACCCCCAGTAGGGGGTGTGTAGAAGGCAACCAATAGATGAGTTTTATCATTGATGTTTCTAACTTTCTCTCCCTCTCCCTTCCTATCTCTGCAATCAATAAAAAAAATGTTAAAAACAACAACAACAAAAAACCACACGAAGCAAACCCCAAACCAACTCAAGACAAATTTTAAGCTGAAAATGATCTTTACAGTTCCCTCTATTCCTCCATTTTTGGTCCAAATCAACAGGAAATTTAGAGCAATCCTTCGACAGTCAGCATTCTGTACAGGCCTTTGTTTAGAAGGAGAGACAGCAGCTGGGCCAACCTGTCTGAGTTTAGAGAAGAAGGGGAGTAACCGGGGGGAATGTCCAGTTGTTACTTTAAGGATTTTCAACAATGGCAGCAGCAACAAAATGTTGTTTTAACAAATTAAAATTTTAAACCAGTAAATCAGTCAATAACAAGCATGTGGGTAGAAAGGGACAACTGGAAATTCAAACTGGGTTTCATTCAGCAAGGATGCAGGCAGTAAACAAAGCTGGGGCTGTTTAAAATCAAACCTGCCCAGCTGCAATTACTCTGCAGTTGTGGCGTGAAAGGCTGTGAGAAGGTTAGGGGATTTGATTACTAAGCTAGTTCAGATTTCTAAAACCATAGCTTATGTTGGCAGGCCACCGTGGCTCCATACACTAATCCATCTCCTTTTATACTATTTACCCCCTATTTCTGGAGTGCCATTCCTGGCTGAGGATTTTGTAGAATCGAGTACTCTTAGCAGGACAGCCACGTTCTATGTCAACGAGGAAAAAAAAGACTTAAAAACCAATCTCCCTTAGTTGGTTTTCCCCAAAGCTGCCTATCTCTTACTCTCGTCTTGGCCACAAACCTATAATATGATATGAGACTCAAAGGTGAGTCAAACAAAGCTACATGTTATTATATGCCTTTGAGGTAGTTATGAGTTTAATGAATGTCACCAGGATCTAAATGATAAATTCCCCTGGAAGGCTAATTCCTTTACTTTAAAATAGAACTTTTAGAGTGGTTCTCACTAAGGGGTGCTTGCAAGCATGTGGTAACATTTTTGGTCATCACTGTGGTGGGGGAGGGAGAGGAATGGTGGTTATTCAGTGATAGGAACCAGGATATTAAGCATCCCTCAATAAAAGGCACAGTCATAGTCCTGCCCCAAATACCGAGAACGTCCTCATGGAGATGTGCTTACCACCATCCATCCACAGGACTTGAGAGAGAGAGAGAGGGAGAGAGAGCGAGCGATATCTAGGCCCTCTAGTCCAGTCTCAAGGGACTGATTTAACATCAGGCCACAGGCAAAGTATAAATGACAGTCCAGGACATTTTGGTCCAGGCCCCTTCATTAACACAGTACTGCTGTTCTAACAATGGACACACTCGTGTCTTCACTGAAAATGGGGATTTAAAGCACGTGTTCACCTCTGATCCAAGACCAGAGAGCTAGGGCCATTGACAATCCCCAAACTCAGACAGCTTTCCAGTCACATCGATTCTAAGCAAGCAGCAGAGAAGCCAGAAGGACTGAGTCAAACTCTGAACCCAGGCCATTCGTTGGGGACATAGGGACAGGAAGGAAAACAAACCTTCTGCAGCTTCGGAAACAGTCAGAAACAAGAGAACTAATTTCAGTTCAGTCATAGGTCTACAGGTATTAATAGAAAAATACCCCTGACTCTTTAAAAGACAATGTGCTACATTAAAGAAGCCCACCACTGATTCAGCTAAAACCCAAACAGAGGAGTATAAAGATATGCACATTCACTTTTAATTAATCTCATATTGTATAAATTCATACAACACACGGATTCTTTCTCAGGCACGACTCCTGAGTCAAATTTGACAAAATGTTCACAAAAAAGAACTATCACATTTACAACCAAAATCCTCAGTACATCTCCTACTCCACAGTTAAAGGTGTGAAATGGAGCACAGAAACGTAAAACACTAAAATAAAATACTAAACTGAGGTGGACAGTGCAAACGAAAGGGACAAATCAAACAAGGATGGGTGATGTTAATAAAAATGTAGAAAGAAACTGACAAGGAAAAATTATTTTCAGAAATATCAAAATTCCTATTACACCATCTTGAGAGGTGAAGCAGTATCATCAACATCCTAGCAATATAGAGCACCGCTTTCCCCCCAAATACGGCCAACTGTCAAAACTATAGCTGTCCAGGAATGTTCTGGAGAAAAGGCATCCAACCTGGCACCAGCAGCTGGCCCTGACCCTGCACCCATCCATCACCCCCCACAAGCCCCTGCGTGCCAGATCTTGAAGCAGGCTGAGAAGACCCTCTAGGGACAAGCTGCGGTGTCAGTGAAATTTCTCTACAAGAATCATGAGTACGGAGTGAGGAAATGAGGGAATGAATGTCAGACCTCATGATGGAAATGGAGCCAAATAAAAGCAGCGACCTTACCCATGTTGTAGTCTTTGTGTTATGGTCAATGAAGAAGGGCCGGCCGTTCGGCGCGATCCTCATTTCCCAGCCCGGTGGCAGGAAGCTCTGTGTGACTTTGTGTTGTGGTTTGGGGGAGTTGTAAGGTGATGGCTGTGGGGACTGTGGATTGGAAAGGGTATCTTTCACAGCCCGACGTATGGGTGAATCCTTGGCACCCTAAGGAATAATAATGAGCATTAGAACTCTTACAGGTGCTAGTCCAGTGTGTCAAAATGTACCTGGGTATCACGAATGTTCCATTTGGAAAGGGACAAGGGGAAGCTCCTAAGAAATCTGTTTCTGTCATTTGCTTACTTTTAAATCAATCGAATTTTAAAGTTTTTCTATTGATTAAACACACAACATTAATTACTTAAAATCACCATCCTTTGATAGCTATTGGATATATGCCAAAAATATTATGCTCCACTGAGAATTATGGATGGAGACTTTACAGAGGGTGGAGAAAGACGTGCCCCTGCTCTTAATGAGCTCACAGTCTAATGAAGAATGGATTGGCAATTTGCAGAGCATAAGAAGAAACCCCTGTATCATCAAAGACAACCACCTGGACTCGTATGGTTACCAGGACATTTGTATCACAGTTTGGAAGAGAGCTATCATTCATTCCCACTCATTAGCAGTTAAGCCCAGGGCACAGAGAGTACCACAGCTACCTCTAGGACATTGTCAAGTTTAGAACTTGAACGTTTGTGCTCTGGCTTCTCCAACTCTCTGACGCGGTGATGCTAAGGCATGGTATTCAGACCACACAAACAGGAGAGCAACGCAGATGCATAGCAATGACTTAGGGATGCAGATATGCATCAGAAACATGTATGTCCATACAATGACAGACCCTACAGTCCAAAGGAAAAGAAATGGTCAAAACCACAGCTATCGTTTAAAACTTAATATAAGCATTGCTATCTGAAAGAGTTATTATGCGTGTCTAATGAGGTAACAGGCAAGAAGGGGCGAAACAACAAGAATGGAGAAAGTTCTGAAGAGAGGAACCCACATATACAGCACAAGTCACTATGGCCTCAGCCCCATGAGAATGAGAATCAGGTGAGAGTCCAAGGATGTGAGCTGGGCGCAACAGAGAAGCATATACTGAGGCTGCACAAGAACACCCTTCACCACGAACACAATGATCAGACAGGAAGGTGGCTGCGAAACTGAAGTCCAAGTTAAGAGAAAAGAGAGAATGAGAAGTCACAGGACAGACGTGACCCCAATTACAGTGAGTAGCCTTCTCACCTCCAGTGGGGCAGATAAAGTTACTGTTGGCGAACTGAGGCTACGAGGCCGGCGGATCTGAGGCTCGATTAGATGGTTGTTACTGTTTGTGGCAGATCCAGATGCACCATCTTCTGCAAGCTATGTTGGAGCAAAAACAAGTTAGCTTTATGTGAGGATCTCCCTTTGTGTGTGGTTGGGAGTGTGGACCCAAACAACAACACAGCCAGCAGTAATGAGAGGTCTGGCCTATTTAAAGCATGGAGGAATGATTAAACATAATAATGGGGGAGGGGAAGGTTGGGGAAACACATTCAAGGGAAATAAAAATGAATCACTAGCCAGGCATGAAAACGAGTCTCAGGAAAAAAGGGGGTGGGGGTTGGGAGAGACACTACACACTGCTATAGGCTCTTAACTTTGAAAATATCTTTCACATGACATTAAAAAAAAAATATCTATATATATATATATATCTGGGGATGAGTGACTTGGGGACCAAATTCTTCCATAGGCATATATTATACTTAAAATAACACATTTTCTTTGTGGAAGAAAATTTTTCTAAAACATGGGTTCTCAGGACAATACATAAACAATAGCAGCGTGGAGCTCTTGTACATTTCGGCTTTCACCTGCCTGCAATTTTCAGTTGTGCGGCGATCTGCATACCTGCATGATAGGCCGAGTCCAAGTGGTGGTTCGATTGTTATGATTGACATAGTATGTGCGTCCCTTAGCATCCTTCCTTTCTTCCCAGCCTGAAGGTAGGCCCGGCGTGGTGTGCACGTAGGCCACTGATGGCTGTTTGTGTAAGAAATCATCATTATTTAGTGCAGTTGTTTTCTGATCACTTTAATAAAGTAATGTACACTTAGAGAATTATTTTTTTCTAGACGAAGTAAGTTAACTCTATTTGTACCCAAAACACTAGTGTCCAGAAAACAGAAGTAGATTTCCAGTAGCTTCAAATCCACTGTGAAATGAATCTCTGTGGAGTCCAAAATCTTACAGAACGCGTTCTTAATGTCCGAAGTCTTAAATGCAATGGCTGCTGCTAATGTGCTAAGAGAAAAAAACAGCAACCTGTTTCAGATACTAAATTTTACCAAATTATGTAGAACTTAAAGATATTTCAAATTGTCAAATGTCACTGTCTATGAGAGGAATGTCTGAATAGTTTCCTCTCGATATAGTTGCCACAGGGATACTCTCCTAGCTTATTCCTAAATTCTTCATCAGCTTAGGGCCCTTACATTGTATCTTTTAGGGGGAAAAGTACACAGAGGGCCTTCTCTCCAGGAGGTCTGCATTCACACCAGTGGCATATAACCAAAAGGACCGGCTAGGACACCCCAACTGCCCCAGCTTAGGAAGCCTCCTGGCGAGCTGAGGCTGTATTATCCTATCTGCCCATGCAGAGCTTGTCTCTAAGGGTGAAGGAAGCACAGGCAGTTTCCGGGTTTAGAAACATGTCCAGTATAGAGTGACTATATTTAGATAGTCCAAATTAGATCGAAAAGGATTCCTGAGACACTTCTGCTGGTAAGCAGCAGCCTGAGAAATGTAGCCGGGTGGAGAACTCTGGAATAACAAGGATGTTTCAGTGACTCAAGGAGGCACCGAGATGGACATCTGAGGTCAGTGCTGTCTCAGGAGGAAGTCCTGGATGTATGGTGACTGCATATCAGATCTGTCACTGGGAAAGGGGTGTTACTCTAAGGAGTGGGGGTGGCTCAGATACAAGAAGGCAACCATGGCTATCCAGGCTCCCAGGAGAACGTAAAAGAAGAGGCTAAACATTATTTGGGATATAAAAGGAAGCCACGTCTTTCTGGGTACCATCTCCCCTAATTAGGATCTTCTCACCCTCCAGATGTTTTACCAGCTGTCATTTTCTTGATATTAGGCTGAAAATGTAAATCTCTTGGCCCAGCTTCTCTCTGTGCTCATCCCATCTTTCGTGTCTCCTACCAACAATGTGCTGTGGCAGAGAGGGTCACATCAGAGGATCCCCAGTCCACTGCATGACCCTGGGTTAGCATGATCAAGGATGCTACCACGTCATTGGGGACTTTAGTTAATGAGGCTCCATATTCTACTTCCTGAGCTCAATTGCACATTCCAGAGAAAAACTAACTGAGGCCATGGAACAGCTGCCTCAATGGTTATTTCTAAAACATGTTGAACAGGCAAGGCAACATTATTGGCAACAAAACTTTCTTCTAAACCTATACCAACTACTTCCTTGACATTTTCCCAGATAAAAACTGAAATACCTCATCATGGTTAATACCAAGACTCTGATCATAGAGCATCCTGGACCTACGTGTGGGGATTCAACAAGAGTGGAAGAAACACCAACAGGCAGACTTGATCCATCCATGGGTACTTAAGTCAGATGAATTTATATAGCCTGAAGCTCTTTCCTCCTTCCTCCTCTACCACCAACAGAAAAGAACTATTGCCGGTCTATTTTTTATCTATAAAAGACCGACTCTGCCAAACCAAGTTAGAACCCAAGTTGTATCCTAAGTTAGTGGTCAATTGGACTGTGTGGCAAAGTACGTGCTATCAACAAGCTCTGACCTACTATTGCTCACATGAGGACCAAAAATGCTTGGGCTAAATGAAGTACTGAATGGAATTTGTTGCTTTTCTTGTTCCCCGTTATTTTTGGGGAGAGGCAATGAGAGAGGCCCTGAGAAAACTCCGTTCTGGAAACCTTAAGGATAGTTTTGCAGTTATAACATTCCTGGAAAGGATATTTGTGAGGGGTCTGATAACTAGTATAGCTTGGCTGTGTCCTGGATAATCTCAGAATTACTTCTAAGACTGTATGACTTCCAGCACAGTATTCCAGCAACGAGGATATTTTCGTAGATCTACAGTGAATAGGACTAATCAGATTATGGGAAATTAGGAGTGTAGTAGAGAACACTGAATTTGATTAAAATGTTCATTGTACCTTCTACTGAGAACTGAACTGGTAATCCTTAATTTAGTTCCATTAAAAAGAGATGGTGCCATAAAAATGTTCTCCTTATAGATTTCTTGACCATGGAGAACAGCCTGTGATGGTGATTCCATTTGTGACTCAAAACCTCTCACTCAGAGCTAGGGAGGGGCAGGACACAGCTTCCACGGACAGACCACAGAAGGGGCTAGCCCTGAGCCAAAATCAGACTTCCACTGTCGTGTGTGCGTATACACATATGCACTCACGTGCATTCCATTCTACCTTAAGAAACAGTTAATTAGTCCAGAGACACGTTAAAACTGCTAGTAAGCTTAATTTAACATTTCACAGCTTTTCATCTGAATATACTATTGTGTTACATAACGCCAAACAGCCATTGTGCTACAGCTGCATAGTGGCTCCAATTATTTCATTAAAAGGGAGAATCAATTATGTTTAAACCATCAAAGTTCAAATAGGCTTTTCCAGATGATAAATGTTTGGCACTATCACCGATGCCCCAATATTCCCTCAAACCCTGCCATTCCCGTCACTAGTTTATTTTAGGGTCTACACAGCAAAGAGCAAAAAGACTGTGCTGTCCCTCTTGCTTCATCTCAGAGAGGGCTCCTGCTTAGCTCCCTGGAAAGTGTACTTATTTGTGGTAAATGAAAGGATTGTAGTTCTGCAGATGAGAATCAGGATCTGTTTTTATACTATAGAAATAAAAGCACTGGCAAGGAAAGACCTGGATGATTCATGCAACATGGTGTGCAGGACAAATACGGGTGGGGCAAGGGGCTGAATGCTCACCAATGTGGGAAGATTATATAAACTGGTGCATTTGCATGACTGAAAATTATGTAATCATTAACATGTCCCAGAAGAATGACCGTAAGTGAAAAATATCAAGTTGCTAAGTGAAATGTACATGAGATCCCATTTGCGCACACACATGTATTTGTGAGAGCGGAACACAGCTCCGGTGTAAGCATGTACACTTCTGTGTGGGGCTGACAGGGAGAGGGTTGGGAGAGGGTGTAAGAGGGAATGAAACATGCTAGGAGATGGAACTGGAAAAGAGAAAGTAAAGGGCACTGGTGACAAGGGATAATGATGATGGAAAAGAAACAAATGTGATACTGTCAAACCTACTGAAACTTCGAATGTGGCCATAAAATTAGTTGGCTTATTGCAACCAAAAGATGACCAGGTACATAGAAAGCATGAGAGTAGGTAAAACATTTAGGAACTACTTTTACGGCCCAATTCTTCAAAATAAAAAACAAACTTGTATTTTTTATTCATTGGTGGGGGAAGGGAGAGTACCGGCAAGAAGAGGGCCGTGGTAATGGCCACAGGAACCGCTCTGACCACGGAGCCCAGCGCTCTCACAACTAGTCTATCCCACCATTTAATATCACAGCGACCACACACTCCAATACTAACAGCAGCTTCCAAGACCAAAAAATGCAAATGTGGATGGAAGAGGATACTCATTAGCACTAAATTCTACTAAAATTATTTCATGAAATGTTCTCATCCACCTTGCAGCTCTACTGCCATAGAAATTTCCAGTACACAGTAGGCAATGTGCCACTTCATTTGAAGGTTCATGTCTTCTACTGGAAGCTGAGCCTGGCCTACCCAACACATGACTTTTTGCGGCTCAATAGGTTAAATGAGGCTGATTTTTTGCTGATTGCAAATTTGACTTTCCTGTGTACAATGCTGAGCATTAAATTCTAACATAACTAAATTGTTCATTAAAAATCATCAACATTCTTCAGAAAATCTGCAATTGTATATGTATTTAAAGGTGTTCTCAAGTAATAAGCAGTTATAACAAACATAAGGTGAAACAATAAGGAAAATTCTTTAAATAGCCATAGCAGCTCTAAACATAAACTATAAGCTAGCCTGTCTTCAGGGATCAAATAGAAAACAGACAATTAAAGTACATAGTCAAATACATTATTTAAAATAACGAATAATAACAATAACAGATACTTGGCTTAGAGAAACACCATTATTTCTAAATCTTTCAAATTTATTAAACATGCCCCCCTCCCTTCCATCCTCCAAGTAGTATATAAACATCTGTTTATTCCTGTGAGGAGAGTCACTGGTTCAAGCTCATGATACAGAAAATCTAACTCAGTGTTTAAAACGTGGGGCAGAAAACACACAGGAGATAGCTACTATGCCCAACTGAAAATCCACTTGTGCAACTGCTCCTCAGGCTTGAATCACACAACTGAGGACGTTTATTGATTTCAGAGAGGAAGGGAGAAGGAGAGATAGAAACATCAATGATGAGAGAGGGGCCAAAAATGTATTCTTAATGGTCAAATTAAATGCACTTAAAGCTCGACAGTCTTCCTGATAAAACTATATGGGACTAGCCGGACTGGTGTGGTTCAGTGGTTGAGTATCGATCCAGGAACTAGGAGGTCAGAGTTCGATTCCTGGTCAGGGCACATGCCAGGGTTACAGGCTCGATCCCCATTAGGGGGTGTGCAGGAGGCAGCTGATCAATGATTCTCTTTCATCACTGATGTTTTTCTCTCTCTCCCTCTCTTTTCCTCTCTGAAATCAATAAAAATATATTTTAAAAAAAGAACCATGTGCATCTCTGCAGCACAAAAAAGTCAATATCCCCCCCCCCAAAAAAAAAGAAGAAAAAAGGAGCATATTCACTATTATACAAAATATTAAAACCAACCCACAGTTTTGCTGTTAAAGTCTGATCAAGGGTATCATTACCGTTGGCTCCTCACCACCTGTGACAGTTGATGAACGCGCTCTCCTAGTTGGGGCACTGGGCTGTTAAATGATAATTTATATCAGTGAAAGGCACTTAGAGAGACCACCCGTTGTTTACTGAATCAGGAATCACTGCTGTGGCAGCCAGTGAGGCAGGTGACATGAATCAGAATCCTTGAAACCCTTTCTGTCCAAGTAAAGCTGAGCGATCACTGATGACCAGAGGAGCAAGGACCCAGTCAACCTCCCATCCACAGAAGCCTCAGGCTGCAGCCTCGATTTGGCCGAACAATGAATTGACAACCTCAATAACAATGATGAGATGTCTTGTTCGGAAAAGAAATTGAACACCACTGTGGTTTTGCCCCCACTGTTAAATAATGAGCAGGTTCTTAAATCTGCCACACTCAAAATTCAAGAGGCCACTGGTGATCAGTGAGTTTTCAGCTTTGGAGAGTGTAAGGGAGGAGTCATCCGTTTCCAGGAAAAGAGACTCTTCGGCAAATAAAATTAACATTGATTGTGAAAAGGAGAGGAAGTGCCATTAATTCATCAAGGAAAATCACAGAATCATTAGGCGGAGGATCACACCAGCCCATCACAGCTGATTGTTGTTTTGGGGGAGATCTGAACTGAAACCATCCCAGAAAGGACGCTCTTGTCAAGCTTATCAACCAGCACGTTGGATACAAGGCACAAATGAATCCCTTATTTTGACCACTCAGTTGACTAATGTACTCATTCATTCATTTTGCAGCATAAAAGATAAAAGCGAGGCAAAAAAAATCCTTCTGACTTGTGCAAAGGTGTACACAATAGGGAAGACACTGTGCTTTCAAAATCTGTAAGTGCACTTTCCCCCCATCACACATAATAAAGTATTAGTGCTAAAAATGATTGAGGATTCGTCGTCATAAAAAAAGTGGTTATGGTCAAACATCACATTGGACATGCTAAAATAAAAGCACATAGTTTCTCCCCCCAAAAGAAGAAACAAAGTCGAATTACGTTTCTTATCTTTGACATGTACACCAAACATCTCCCTAGGCAGTTCTGGTCTGCCTTCCAATTGGAATATTCATTTTCATTTATGTCCTATATTATTAAACATTGCCACTCTTCCATATTTGCTGCTAACTATAGAAACTGTGGGAGAGTAGGAACTAGTTGTAGCTAATTCTTTAGCCAGTAGAGCTGCCTTTAAGGAGAAGGTACAGAGGCTGTGTGGGGTTAATTAGGTTGTCATGGAAAGCCTACCTCGCTCACACCTGGAAGAGTTCTTCCTGTTTAAAAGGATTCAGTATGTTCTTAAATACAATCACCAGAGCACAGCTTGAGGGACTAAATTCAATCTTTTTAAAAATTAGTTAATATATGCTTTTAGCTAAGTGAGCACATCAGAATTGGTATTAATTTGGGTGAAAAACTAAGCAATGGAGTTTTTACCATTTTAGAGATTTTGGTGGCAAAAACAATCTCTTTGTATTGGAAAACCATTCTCCTTGGGCAATTTGCTAGGAAATTTGAGTGTCTCATTTATATTGTAAATGGATTTGCACAGGAAAAACTCTTCCTCAGTGCCCCAATGATTTTAAATAAAAGCTGAAAGAGCCAGCTGGGGAAGGGAAATGCGCGTGGGTTACCGGTGGTAGGTGAGCCTGCTCCGCGACCGCATCGGTGACACTGCACGACCTCAACCTCGAAGAGGGCTCCCTCTGCTGAAGGGGAGGAAAGGACACGGAGCATCAAAAAAACATTCTTAGAAAAAGTTTCATTGGCTCACAAAATACACCACTTGGTTCTATTCACAGCACTATGATAATGGAAAGCAATTAAATGAAACATCATCTTTTCAGGGTAATGAGAGTAGTCCTTTCAGGAGTCAAGTTATCTGCAGTTGTTTTCATTCTCAGTGATTTAAGCAGACTGGGGTTTTGATTAGTCCTTAGTTAGAAATAACAGCAAAAAATAAGGGAACAAGGTCAAAGCATGGAAGGGGACTCAACAGGCCACCATAACACTCTAGGGTTGCTTGAAAAATAGAAATTGGAAGCTGGAAGTCTTATCATTTGTTTTGGGATGCATCCTATAGAAAGGAATATTGAGATATGATTATTAAACATTTATTGACTATTATTATCATTGATAAAGAACCAACTGGATTCTATATCCAAGGAAACTCAAATATAATTTTGTGCTACTTCTGAAGGGTCAGGTATTTACAGTTTTGGCTTCTCAATGGAGTTAAAGTCACACAGATAAGGAATGAGGGGAAATAGTGAGGCTAACCTAGTAAATCAAATGTGTAATGTATAATGTTCCTCTCACTTGTTTGCTTCACCTATGTAGTTTTAAAAAGAGCCTAACAAATCCAATCAGAGAACACAGCAGGTGACACATACAAAAGCCAGGGTCTAATCAGCAACAGGTTCATCCAGGGGACACGTTTGATATTTTGCAATAACTAAAATGCGATAAGGTCAAAGAAAGACTTTGGGGCAGGGAAGGGGGTGGGGGACTATCCACGTCTTTCTACAGTAGTTGCTGCTATTGTTCTGGAATACAGTGACCCTGAGAAAAACTGAAGAAGAGCCCCATATTCTTCTCTTTCTTAGGCACCTTTATTTAATACTTGAACCAGAATCAACAATCTTAAAATAATTCTGACATGTGCACTTGGATGTTAAAGGTATTTTATATAGCTTTAATAAATAAATGCAGGAGCTCCTTATACAAATAATTAGAGATGTTAACTTAATATTAATGCTGAAGAATATTATGATTTTTCACTTGGTAGACCAAAGGTATATAATTGCTATAATTATTGCAATACTTCCTTTAATAGGTTTTAAATATATGGCTTCATTGCTTATATTGTTTCCATAGCAAGTTTTACCAATTCAAATGTCCTATATATGTAAACTCTTTTTTTCCCTGCCCCCTTAGTACTAAATTTTCATCTCATTGATATTTCTTTCTGAAAACCATTAATAGACTTTTAATATAAAACCACATTAAATAATCATTGCATCTCACACAAATTGGGCAATGGTGTCTGTTAAAATAAAAACACCATAACTGAATAAGGAGCAATTTTGTGAGTATTTGCTTTTACATATCATGCAGTCCTACCCCTTTACATTTTACATGATCGCAATAATGCCTATTTTTTTTAGGTGCCATTTTCAGTGACATCACTCCCATCTTTACTATAGAACAGCTTTAAGTTCAATTTCTCAAGAAACTGAGACTGCATTTATTCTCAGTTTAAAGCTCAAGCAGGAATTTTCTATGGGCTTTTTCTGCAGTTTTATACTGTCAAACACAGAGTTCTTCATGGCTGATTCTGCTGCTTACCAGGGCTCAGCCCCATCTGAAGCTTCTAGAAAGTATGTCCTTAATTGTTGAGAACGCCAATTCAAATGTTACTACCCTGATGTCAGTGTCCCAATTCCACAACCCTTCTTAAGGACTGGTTTTCTGGGACGTGAATGTTTTTTATCTCCTATTCGAACTTTGTCTTGGATGGGTCCCTTAAAGACTATGCCTACATCTCTGAAATGAGTATGATTTAAGAGGACTGATTGGGAGGCCCAATATCTCCTCCATGTCCCCAATGCAAAAAGCCACCTTTGTGGTGAGAGTACTATGTATGAGCCTTTGGCTGGGAGGAGAAATTCTACATGGTTAAAGCTGAGAATTATAGAAGTCATGAACTCTTATTTTCTTGCATTCTTTTTAAATCAAGAAAGATTCTCACCTGCGTGGCCAATTTTGGTATAGTCCTCCTTCTCCTAGGTTAGGAGGAACTTAGGAAAATGTCAGAATTATCTGGGAGCTAGAAGACCCTTGGTCATTATTTGCATACAAGACTCTCTTAAAGCAACAACAACAAAAAAATGATAAAATATTTGTTTAACTTCTCATTCAAACAGGACGATTACTCACAATCAAAGAACCAAACTGCTCCCCATTGGAGTCCGTAGTGAACTGAAGCCTTCTGCTTAGTTCTTCAGACAGCTCTTGAGGGCTGGTCCGAGAGGATGGGGAGGAAGGTGGTGGGGGCAGCGGCAGACTGAGGGAGGAGTCTCCAGCGATAGCTGCTTCTTCTGAAATGGTCTCCCAAGGCTACCAATGGATGAGATGCAGAGGTAAATGCTAGGAAGGAGGAATCCCCAACAATAACCATTATCATAACTATAATTAACATTTACTAAGCATGTAGGAGGCAAATAATCTTCTCAAGAACCACGAGAAAGATATGACTACAACCCTAATTAGCAGGTGAGGAAACAGGCACAGAAGGGGACTTGCCCAAGGTAATAGAGCTATGAAGTGGCAGGACCAGGTCTTGAACCAAGGAAGCCAGATTTCATGGGCTGTGCTCTTAACCACTTTATAATACCACCTCTCTGAGCTGTGACTGACCTCTAGCTCTCATTACTAAATGCATGGGTTAAAAAATAATCTCAGGAATTCATTGATAACTTCCATGGAGTTCCTTTCACTCTAACTTCTCAGGATTCACAATGAAAACAGCATAGATGCTATAATCTGTAATTAAACAATGTTGTAAAGTACCTTTCAGTAAATTTTTTACGGAATCAATTTGGCTTTTCAATTTTTGATCACTGGAGCATTTTGTAAATGATCTTCCTGAGGTAATACCTTTAATGGATTTCTAGTAAGTAAACAGAGCTGTTAAGGCAGCATGGAAGTTATGATAATTGTTCATTTGTTCTTCAATTCATAACTTCCCCCACCCCAGTAATTTACCATAAATATTTCAGGGGCAAATTATAAACAGTGCCATTCACCCAAATTTGTATTTCCTTGGTAATACATCTCTTTTGTGATGTCAAAAGTACTAGTATTCAGTAATAGCTTGTACTTGGTACCCAAACAAGTTATAGGGCTCACTCAATTGCAATTATGGAGTAAAAAAATCTTAAGATCCCCAATACGCCATTCTTTTGTAATAATATAGATACATGCATTCATCAAACATGGTTTTTATGAGCACTTTCTAAATTAATATCTCGATGGTTGTCAATTAGCTATGAGACCATTAGACAGCTTTTATGGAGAAAGGAAATCACAGCATAGAATCAAGCTGGGGACACGGAGAGGAGGGGGTGCAGAGTCTGGGGCAGCGGGACGCAGTACCTCTGGGCCCTCTCCACTCTCGGAGGGCTCGGGCTCCAGGTCCTCGCTGATGTGCCGGCGGGAGCGGAAGCGCCGGTGGGCCGCCTCCTGGTTGATCTGCCGGATGTTGCTGTCCGCCTCGGAGGACACATCCCTGAGGGCAGGGGGTGGAGACAGCAGACCCCATATTGATAAGTGGCCCCTCAACAAGAGTCCAACACTCACCAAGGGCATGGCACCTACTAAAATGACAGTGCACTTATGTGCAACAAGCTGACAATGAGAATTCTTCCACCATATTTTGGGGGCTTTTAGAATAGAAGTTTAAATGTCAAAATGTTTCTCAGAGAAAACTCACACAGACTCCTTTGATAAGACACCATATTCAGTTGACAAAAATGATGTCACAAGTTAATATTTCAAAATATTTGAAAACATTATTTAAACTAATTGAAATATAGTATTAAACCGGGGCCCTTGTTACAGATTTTCCTAAAACATAGGTTTTAAACATTCAAACAAACAAATACTGCATTCCAATAAAGAGCCTATGGGGCTCCTGAATAGTAAAAAGCTTGCAACTAACATCCTTGTATGCAAATAAATAGGTAACTCTTGAAATGATTTAAGTCCTTCAAATAGACATCTTTACACAATTAGTTTTACTGGTAAAGGGGGTAAGATGAAGGTTAGCTTTCATTTAATCCATATTAAAATGATAATTTATTATGAAAATCTGAATTAAGTTTTACTGTATCTGCACATCCAATACACAAACTTTTGAACTCTAACAGAAATATATCCTGCATATTTTATAGTAATACTAGAGGCCTGGTGCATGATATTCGTGCTGGGGGGGGGCGGGCGGGCGGCGCGGGGGTTCCTTCAGCCTGGCCTGCGCCCTCTCGCAGTCTGGGACCCCTCGCTTCTTACCATCTGCCTGCTCACTGCTCCTTACCACTCGGCTCACTGCTCCTTAGTGCTGCCACGGGGGCAGGAGAGGCTCCTGCCACCGCCCGCTGCTCTTGCCAGCCTTGAGCGCAGCTTCTGCAGTGCTCCCCCTGTGGGAGTGCACTGACCACCAGGGGGCAGCTCCTGCATTGAGCGTCTGCCCCCTGGTGATAAGTGCGCATCATAGCGACTGGTCGTTTTGGTTGTTCCGCTGCAATGGTCGCTTAGGCTTTTATTATATAGATTAAAAAGTATAACTAAACTAAAAACAGGACACTAAATGGAGATACCTTCAGAAAAACGGACAATTATGGCCATAAATAAAATAATTACAATCAAGGGATACCCAAGTATTCTAATAACATTTCTGAAACCACCAAAACAGAATGATAAAAATTACACTATGGGATATATTAGAAAATGTAATATTGCTTTTTGTGATTTCATGTTCTACAGTCATTTTTATACGGCATTCATTTCTTAAGCAAACAATGCTTATCGAAAGTAATTATAAGGCATTACAAAGCTCACAAAAAATAGGTCAGAATGATCAAAATACCTTAATAAAATGTGTAAAATATTTCAGTAGTGTCTAAGAAAGCAAAGGAAACTTTACATTGTCCTCTTTCACTTTTTATTGAAGATGAAAGCAATATCACTTTATAATGACTGGCTTTCCTTAAAAATATTTTACAAATAAGAGTTTCATTAAAATTTGAAATCTTCACTTGAAATATCAGTCATCATTTATTCAGTCAACAGAGAGACTAATGTTTGCATGCTACATGTGCCAGGCCCTAACACATACTTGAATTGTTACAGGGACTTCTGAGAGGTTGAAAAGAATAAGGTTTTCATTACTCTCTCTGCATTTTGTATCTCTCAGAAGTATATACAAAAGTCCATTATTTTGGAAAAACTGGTGTGTTGTTTTTTTTTTTAAAGGGCATTTAAAATCAATTATGCCAATCTTCCTTACCCAACATGCTCAAATAATTAGTAATCTGTGTGAACCAGAAACAACTAAATAGCATAAAGAAGCCAGATACCTCCGATTTTGAAATTCCAAACACGGGCTTTTATGGTCTTTTAGTGCCAAAATGAAAATGTTCACACCATGGTATTTAATTAACTGAATGAGAGGGTTTGGAACAGAAGTTGTTGAAACTGACTGGAAGTATAAATGGTCACTAATGGCCAGATAAACATGTAAAGTATTCCTAATCTGACAAACTAAAACAGAAAAATGGTTTTACCTGGGGCCAGAAAAAATTTAAGGAATGGCTATTTCAATTTTCATCAATCATTAATTTCACATATGTATTCTTCAATTAACTTTCATGGAAAATGTACAAATGAATAAAGACAAGTTCAGTGCCAATTAAGATCAGTGTGCCAGATCATTTATACATTCACATACATTAGTGACTATATGACTGCACTACTGCTAAGACAGGGAAAGATATACAAAGTATTTTAGAGAGCTAAAATATGTGCAAATTAGGTGAGTTTAACAAGTTCATCTTCATTTATCATCTTCATGTAATTCCCCACCTTTAAAAAAAAACCTGTAGTTTTTACAGCAAAAAGTCTATAGTTTATGTTAAAATAGGAAAAGGACAAATTTAAAATTAGGGGTGTTTTAAAAGCCACCATCAAACTTGAGGGGGCTGGGGTGTCTTCTCTGGTAACCTTCTGTTCTAAAGTATGCATCCATACCTAAACCTGTACTAGACAGTTCAGGAAACCATGTGTATGATCACTATCAGAAGTGACTCATCTGTAGTCAGTCATTCAGTTAAAGGCACTGGCTGAGCTCCGACTTTGTGCCAGGTGCAAAGGATAGCTCTGCTCCAACAGGGAATTAGAATATTCTGTGCTCCGAGCCAGGACTGGGGAAGCCCAAGGTTTTTGCAGGGACGCCTGCCTAAAGGGGTCTGGCTCCCCAGAGGAAGGTGCATTAGGCTGGCGGTAGCCGGGGAAGGGCATGTTCTAGTTTTTCCCCCTCTTTTTGGAGGGTGGGGGAGGGAAGTAGCACAGCCATGGAGCCAAAAAGAAGATGAAGTAATGAGGAAGCAGCTTGCATGATTGGGCCACTTGGGTGCACTGCATGCTTATGACTGCGGTGGCGAGTCTGGAGGAGACAGGGTGGAAACAGACCTTGTAAAAAACAGTCTGAGGGCACCGATATTTTTTCAGGGTGAACAATTTTTAGAGGGTTTGAAGTTTGGGGCACAAGGTAAGAAATAAGAATCACCAGGAGTGTCACAATTCTCGATTAGCACATGGTAATCGGTAATCACTATGTGATTTTCTCAGATACAGCCGATTAATACAGACTTCTCAGTATCAATTTTCCTCCAAAGAGTACTAGAGTATTCTGTGAAAACTGACTTCTGAAAACAATTATTTCTGAATTAAAACAATCCCTTAATTCTGGAAGGCTTGAGGGCTTCAGGCCAAGCCAAATAAAGTTAAGGAGAAAGAACCCCGAGTTCTCAAACAGCACAGATGGGATCAAAAGGTCACTGTGGAAACCCACTCTCCTTATCTAACTCTTCTTGGCTTTCTAGACGTCACCTGGAAAGGAGCCGTTCCACGAGCTCCACCCCGAGTCCTGCTGTGTCCTTCCTGGCTCCACCTCTCGTTGGAGCTCAGCTGCCTCAGGGATGGGGATGATCATGTCACTGACTTCTCCCTAAACTACATGTGGACCTGTACTTGGATGAAGAACTGCATCTTCCCATGTTGCTTCTGGGCTCCTGCTTTGCCAGCATTACACAAGCTACATCTTCTGTTTTGGTTTAATTCTTTGGTACATAGACACCAAAGATGGTATGTTTAGAAAACCACATAAAGTGTTTTCTCAGTGATTCCCTCATTAGTTTCACAACTCCGGGAGGAAGCTAAAGTTGCAATTATCACCACTTATCCTCCAAATATAGATTTCAGTTTACTAGTACATGGTAATTATTAATAAAGGTGAAAAATTTCCATAGATGTATTGGCCATAAGTATTTCTTCCTTTGTGAGTTGCTAGTGGTCACTTTCCTACAGAGGTCACATGACATACTGGTCCCAACAGAGTGCTATGTCTTAAGGTACTTTCTTACGATGTTTAGCAAAGGCAGGTTATGGTGTTTTGCTTAGGGTTATCACTACCGAGATTCTTCTGATCACTACATATTACCAAGTCCAAGGTGAGTCCGTTTTTTAAAAAAACTACAAATAGCTAGCGTAATCAAATGACTTACAACAGTTTTAACAGCTATGGCCATTAACCAGAGGAAAATAGTAAAATATTTAATTTAATGTAAAAGATCACCGAATCATTTCCATGGGGAAAAAATTACAATAAAAAAGAGTTTAGCATCACCCCAATGTTCTGATATTTCTGTTGTCCTGGGGGCAATGAGCTGATGTCCATGCTAGGCAGTCCAAAGCTGACCAAGGACAGCTGATATTCACAAGAACCCATCTGGAGGCGTAGGAAGGCCTGGCTATTTGTTGCTGAAGATTCTGCAAACTCTAGTTCTAAATCAACAAAACCCAGACCAAACTTCTTGGCTACCTTCCCCACCCAGGATATCTTCGAAATTTCTAAAGAGAAGAGTTATCAACAACACCATCCATCCATCATACTGCTAATACCCCTTGTTTCAAAATATCATCAGCAAATTTCCTTCAGAGTCTGGGTTAAGGAGAAAATTATCTCACCTGATATACTTGGCCTTTGGTACCTGTTGCAATTATATAACTCACTGATAATTACCTCCTTATCTTGGCTGCTAGTGAACTCATGATTGCTAGAATAATTTTTTCTTTTCCTTCTTTTAATACTTTTTTTTTTTACCTTTTATTGCATATTAACAGTTTTAGATCTTGAGGTATACTGTGATTTAAAAACAAGCTAAGTGAAATAAGCCAGTCAGAGAAAGACAAGTATCACATGATCTCACTCATATGTGGAATCTAAAGAACACAATAAACCCAGAGACATAGAAGCATAAAACAGACTGATGTATTTCAGAGGGAAGGTGGGGGTGAGTGGGAAGAGATTAACCAAAGAACTTATATGCATACCCCATGGACACAGACAATAGTGTGGTGAAGGCCTGGGGTTGTGGGGGAGGGAAGTGTGGGGTCGAAGGGGTCAATGGGGGGAAAAAAGGGACATCTGTAATACTCTCAACAATAAAAATAAATTAAGAAATAGGTAAATAGAAACAAGCTACTTCAAATCCTTTTTTATAGTAGCTGAGGTTTAACTATGTTTATTTGGTATCATCAAACCAAAAATTGCCAAGTAAACAAAACAATAATCAGTGCACTGCCTCCATGAGGTTGGGGAGGGATCAGAATAAGCAGTAATTACTAATTCTGAGTTCGCAACAATCCCATGTGTTCCTAATTATATCAAAGGGGTGATATAGAAATTTCTCAAAAAGGGAAAACAAAAAATTTTAAGAGGGTTTCTAAATCAAGTAATTAAAGGGAATAAAAATCCCAAATCTTAAGGGGGAAAAGAACACTGCAAGGCCAATTTGCTTGTTGTTTTCCATTCTGGGTTAGTGAGAAGAGGAAGCTGAAGAAGAGGGAAATGATATCACCAAAGAAAAGACAAATCTAAAAAATGTAACCTCTGCTTTGTATTTCACGAATCTATATAAAGAAGACAGACAGCCCTGGCCCGGTAGCTCAGTTGGTTAGAGCACTGTCCCAATACACCAAGGTTGTGGGTTTGATCCCTGGTCAGGGCACATAAAAAAATCAACTAATGAATGCATACAGAAGTGGAGCCAACAAATCAGTACTGCTCTCTCTCCCCCTTCCTCTCTCTAAAAATCAATAAATAATTAAAAAAAAAGACAAAATCAATCCTATATTAATGCAAATCGACCAAATGGCAGAACAACCTTTCACTATAATACACACTGACCACCAGGGGGCAGATGCTTAACGCAGGAGCTGCTTCCGGTGGTTAGTGCGCTCCCACAGGGGGAGCGCCGCTCAGCCAGAAGCCAGGCTCACAGTTGGTGAGCGCAGTGGCGGTGGCAGGAGCCTCTCCTGCTCTGCGGCAGTGTTAAGGATGTCCGACTGCGGCTTAGGCCGGCTCCACGAACATCCCCCGAGGGCTCCTGGACTGCGAGAGGGCACAAGCTGGGCTGAGGGAGCCCCCTCCCCCAAGTGCACGAATTTCATGCACTGGGCCTCTAGTTAGTTCATAAAATAGCAGAATGCAATCAAAGGCAAGGGCTTCCTCATCATACGCAAAGTCTGACAGGCTGCCATGCTCTTGAACTCAATGAAGGGGAACCCTGAGGTACCATACCACCACGTACTTTTACAGACATGAGATATATTTCCCAGACCCGGCTCAAAGAGCTGCCACGTTTGGCCCTACCTGCAGACGATGACGTGTGTTCCTAACCATCCTACAGTACTCACATCAGTGTCGGTCGGTGCCACTGAGTGGATCGGTTGTTGTGGTTGACGTAGTAGGTCCGACCTAAATTGTCCACTTTCTCTTCCCAGCCAGGGGGCAGAGGAGGAGGAAGCTCCTCCTGGTGCTGAGAAGCTGAGTCATTTGAGTCCACGACTTCCCACCCGTGCTGTGGAGTAAGATCACAGGGAAGGTCATGAGGCTGGATCTTCAGGCGAGGAAAAGACACTCACAGTGCCCCATGTCCTCGCTCCGCTGCTCTCTGGCTCCTGCAGTGGCTTCATGTGCCATATTTGAAGAAATTCCCCAAAAGGGGCAAAAACCCCCCAATTCCAGGAGAGTAGTATTAAAATATTTTGAGCAATAGTCAACTAAGTGTGGCCATTTTGCCTTAAGATGACTACTAGAAGGAGCCACAGAGAGTTGGTAATGTACTGTCTGCTGTGTTCCTAAGTCACATTCTACTCCTTCCACATTGAATATTTGTTATTTTGACCCAAAGGCCTCCAAGGCTGTACAAAGCCAGGGCATCAACGTGGGTCTTGTTACACCTGCCATCTTTTCAACACCTCCCAAAGGCAAAGGGGAGCTGGGAGATAAGCTGCACTGCGTGTGTTCTAACAAAAATTGCAGCACCAGTGACCAGGAGGGAGGTTGGCCCTGAAGCTGGCTTTGGGGGTGAAGCTCATACTCCCCATCCAGTACAATCCCGGGAGCCAGAGATGTCTGAATGCTGTGGCATTCTACTTACACCCCCTACTCACTGGGGCCACATAAACAGGCTTCATGGTACCAGTTACATTTTTGCAACACATATTTTAGGCATTAAGTATTCCTTCCTAACATCCCCCAGTAAAGTCACTGGAAAATGAAGTAATTCACGGGTTACTACGGTTGGGAGGTTAGAAGAGTGTAAAAAAAATTCCTTGGATTTGGGATAAGAATCTGTTGATGTGCTTGTGAAATCTTAACATTCATGACTGTCTACCTCCCACTTTACTCCTCCTCACAGATGAAAGCTCACAGATGAAATACTGCCTGGAAATCCGACCTCTGGGTCTGAGGGAGGCTCAGTTGACTTGCCCACATAGTCACATATCACATATATGCAACAGCTGCAAACAGATGTGTAAAACAAGCCATAGAGAGGCCTTGTTTAGTGGACATTTTCAGGACGAGATGAGACTCTAACAAAACAGCACTACCTGAAGGACGTGATGAAAAGGTACAATAGAACCCACGGGTTAGGTATGTGACTAGCAAGTTAAAAGGCAGCGAGGCCAGGAGGGAAAGAAAGAAAATTCCCCTGACAGCTCATTCCAAAATGGCATTTCTAGAGGAAAGCTTGCCTGATTCACACTGTCACCTGTGGGCCAAACGAGTGAGAGACCTGGCAAAGATTTTCTAAATCACTTGATCCACTTTGAAGCAATTCCACTTGCTAAATGGAATTTACAAAGAGCTGAGAGTCCAAAGTAATAACAGAATTAAATATGTGAGGAGAATTCACATAGGGGTGGGCTATTAATAAAATATGAGTTTAGCATTTTATAAAGAGAAAATTTTTCAATTATTAGTGTTGTAATGTAAGATGAAAAGTTCGTCTTTTTTACTAAAAACAAACACACTGGTAGATGATCAAAGACAGATTCCCGGGCACTTTTAAGTTTTTTCATACTTAAAAGCTTTATAAACTTTTATTTCTTTAAATAATAAAATCTTACGATGAAATAGTCATATGATCTTAGGCAAGGAAGAGAGACCAAGGCCTGATGCTCTTACCTCCATGTCTTCCCTCTGCTCACTGTTTTCTTCATCTTGGCCTCCGTTTTTTGGCATATAGGCCATTTTCAATCGCAAGAATCCCTTAACTCGAGATTTATGACTGTGTGATAGAAGAACATTGGTTATAAAGGATATGGCTTGGTTATATCTTTCATATTTATTATGGCTTTTAAAAAAGGTAAAACAGGAAAAGTTGCTAAATCTTCCTCAGAGAAAACCAATAACCAAGGCATAATGGACCCCTGCCCCTGAGGCCTCACCTTCTTGGTCTGAGGAGAAAGTCCTTAAACGTGTAGGGTCGCTCCATGGTTGGGTCTTCTGTCTGCAGGAAGAAAAAGTAAGTTTCAATACCCCTGAGATATTGTATTGTTAGGTACACGAGACTGGATTACAGAGAGTACATTTTCATTTTAGAATGTGGGAACAGCAAAGACAGAGTCGGTTCCTCAACCAGTTACTTGGACAATTATTTAACATTTTATAGGTCCCAGACTTTGGTCACTCAAGATCCACTAGATGTCACTATCAACATCCGTTTTTAGGAGCCAACCCGGCCTTAGACAAATGACAAAATGATAGTGGTCAATGCCAAGCATAATTCCTAACTGCAGGGCGGAGGCCTCAATCTCACATGCTGGTTAACGTCAGAGAACCAGTCAGTGGTCATCCAAGAAACCTAAAGATGGAGTTAACAGGAAAGTATGCAAGATCTAATCTGCGAAGAGAATAATTTTATTTTAACATTGTCATCAGCCTAGACAAATGAAAGGTTATCTCCCCCACAGAGATCGTCCTAGGTGGCACCATCAATCGACCTTTTGCTGCTGCTTATTTCATGAAGCTACGAATGCAATTGTAACATTTATCGATTTTTCAAAGAAATCAAAAGATCGTGCTTAATCAAAGCAAGCAGGAAATTAGAAAAATAAATGTTACTATTTCATTAATTAAATAGTAAAATCTCAAAAACCTAGGTTCTTTAATGAAACACAATTTAGAATATTTACTTCTGTAACAAAAGAGACCACAATACCATGATTTTTTTTTTGTATGAGAGGGGTGTGTGTGTGTATGCATTTATATTTGAAATTAGTGACCTGGTGCACAGATTTGTGCACATTGAAAGGAAATTAATTAGAAGGTGGCCGGTGGGGCGGGTCTGGGCGGGGCGGGACTGGGCAAGAGGGGCGAGACATGCCCTGGAGCCAACCTCCCGCAGGTCCCTCCTCACCATGGCTCGAAGGGTGTCTGCGCAGTGAGCGGGGTCCCTCCGGCAGGTGGGGGTCCCTCGGCCTGGCCTGTGGGGATTGGGCCCAAACCAGCTCTCTGACATCCCCCGAGGGGTCCCGGAGTGCAAGAGGGCACTCTGCAAAGTTGCTGTTGTACAGGGTGTGGAACTCAAATGCAAGTGTGCAATAAACCAGATTCAGGGCCAACAGTGCCCCAGCAACAACATAACCCACGGCTGAAGGTGGAATCGCATGGCCCTGTGAGGAATTGGGCTCCCTCTTCTCTAGTTTCAGGGTGCATCACCCGAGAACCGCTGCTGCCAAGTCACTGTAGCTCGGCAGCTCCTGCATTTAGCATCTGCCCCCTGGTGGTCAGTGTGCGTCATAGCTACTGGTTGGATGGACACTTAGCATATTGGCCATATATATATATGTTATCTATTTGTCATTCCCTGCTTTAAACTGCCCATGGTTTCTTCCTTTGCTTATAATAAACTGAAAATTATTTCTATGCCTTCAAGGTCAAACAGGGTCTGGCTGGTAATTACCTGTAACCTCACTGTGAACCATTTGACTTATCCTTTCCTGGCTGCTATTTCAATACTTTGTGTTGCCCAAGAGCCAGAGGAGGGGTGGAACAATATGGAAAAGCAAAGCTGGAATATGAGGTGATCTATTGCTCACCAAGGCCTCCAGGTCTTGTCCCCACAGTCTGTCTATATTTCCTCAGCGGCATCTCTAACCTCAGTTATTTGTCAATAGATCTAAGTGTTTTGCTGCTCATCTGAGCAGAGGGAAATGGTAGCTACACCACACATGCTAACTCCTATTTCTAAAGCTGAGTGACAAGTTCACTCAGAAGCAACAGCATCTTTTGTCTGTGCTGACTGAAAAAGCCATATAGCAAATTCTGGGCACCACCAGCTTGTAGAGATGTAGGCCACAGAAATAGCATGTGCAGTTCTAGACAAAGGGAAAACATGTTTCATTAGATACAGAGGATGAATTTGAAAGCAAAAACACCCCAGTGACTAGGAGGGGTCTGACAGAGGAAGGGAGCTGTTTTGCATGAATTGACAAAGGAAGACGAAAGAGCAGAAGAGCAAGATGCAGGTGACATTGACTGGCATACTTGGAGATTCAGATACACTTGATTCTTTCCTATCCCTATGAAAAGACCACTTTCTGGGGGGAAAAAACTAGGGCTCTTTATTTCAGCCTTCTCCACTGTGTTGAGAAAATATTACTCTGAAAATATATCCAGCTGAAAACAATGAGAAGTCACTGCTCACAACAGGCAATAGAAAGCAGGTAACCATTCTCACCGGGAGATGATTAAGGGGCACGTCCACCTGTCCCAGGAAGTCGTCTCGTGTCTGTTGAGAAGAGAGCAGAGAGTTAATGTTCTCATTGAGTTCAGAGTGTCAGCATTCTTAAAACATTTCTTTACAGACAGAGACAAAGGTCCAGGGCCTGACACTACGGTGCCACGGGGATGGGTCAACGCAGATGGCCCAGATTGCTGTCATCTGGGAGACAGGTGAGCCCAGGCCCCATACACCTAACATTTAGATGCCCGAGGCTTTATGGGATGTCCACTACCCAAGTCTCAGCAAACTGTGCTCTCAACCTTGACTGTGGAGAGCTACCATCCCAGTATCTTACTGATGGACTGCCTTGCTTTCCCTGCCTGGTACTGAGATATGGGACCGAAGATTACTAGGTTAAGAGCCTGGACTCAAACCAGCCTACCTAGATAGGAGCCTGGAGCAGGTCACAGGTCTTCCTGGTCACCAGGCTCCCCAATAATGAAGTAGGCCTATTAATACTAGTAGTGCCTATATTCTCTGGTTGCTGTGAGGACAAGGTGTGGTCTTGGCAGGGCCTGCTTCGATGTCGTGGCCCGACATGGCAGGTGCCTCTTCTGGTGTCTGAACAAAGCTGAGACATTTGATCAGTTTAGAACAGGTGATAGGTCATTTATTGGACCTGAGGAGCATATGATTGTCAAGAAAGTGTCACTCAGGTTGATCGAGACTTGGGGGTCATAGCTGGACCAATTTAAAGAGAAGATAGTAAAGACATGTTGGGAACATTTTAACAAATACAGGTGTGGCAAAAGGAGGTTGACAGTTGTTCATCTGGAAAATTATAAAATAGTAAATAATAATGCAAGCATAAACTGTGTTTCACATACTTACAACTATAAGCCTACTTTTGCACACCCGGAATTTATTGATCAAGTGCTATAAACTAAAGAGCTCCTGAGAACTGAGAGTCTAGGGAAAGAGTGCCCAGTCTGGTTATTAATAAATCATATACATTACTTATCATAAAAATGGCCTCATTTCAATCTAGTAAGTACATTGCTTCAGAATCCAAGTTCATGGATTAGTTACTGGTTAAATTGTAGACCCACCATGCTTCTTCCCCTCTCCATCTACTACACAGCACAGATCTTTCTGACTTAAAATAGACTTAGATGAAATTCACGCAGAGAAATTCTCACAGGTGCTTCTTCAGGCTCTGGGAGGCACCTGGGAAGATGTAACTCAGTTCAGGGGTCATGACCTGGCCCATGGGGTGTCTGACAAGTTGTTTGCACTATGTCCTGCTGTTAGAGTGCATGCGTCATAGCCACTGCCCTGGCCCTAGGCACAAACCAGACACAAGGACTTCTATAACCCTCTTATAAAAACAGGCAGTGGCACCTACCACATTCAGAAATGCCTAAAACCTGGCAAGCCCTGTCCCACAGCCACCTTGAGGCCAGACCTCTCACTCTGAATCTGGGCTCTTATCTACACTCTTTACTAGTTTGCTGTGGACTTTTATCATTTATGGAAACCACTTCTCAAATGTACTTGGAAAACGTCTCTTCTTGCATTTAAAAAGCAGCAGCAGGTAAATATAAATGAGAGTTAGTGACATGATTTGCTCCAGGCTTAGGATTTCCTTTTAGGTAATTTAAAAAATGTAATTAACTAGAAAGCTATCTGTCTCCTCTAAACGATGCATGAAGGATAATGGAAAATCAAAGTTACTGCTGGTGTGCAGAAAGCATGAGCTAAGCCCAATCCTTACGATGAGATTCTCATTTGTTTCTTAGCTACATTTGCTATAACCCACCACGGATATACCTCATCTAGCACAAGGCTAGGAGGTGCCAATAAATGCTGTATATATATTTTTAAAATATATTTTTATTGATTTTAGAGAGGACGGGAGAGGGAGAGAGATAAAAAAACATCACTGATGAGAGAGAATCACTGATTACCTGACTCCTGCACGCCCCCTTCTGGGGATTGAGCCCGCAGCCTGGGTATGTGCCCTAACGGGGGATCAAAACATGACCTCCTGGTTCAAAGGTTGACACTCAACCACTAAACCACACTGGCCAGGCAATACTATAGATCTTAACAAAAGAAGCAGCCTGCAGAAGGCTCAGAAAAGGAAGGCAGCTTTGCTGTCCAAAGAGTTAGGGAGCATTCCAGCCCCAATCTGGCCAGTTTATTTATAATTACAAAACCAGTGTAATTATCAGTTAACTCTACAATAAAAAATTAAAGCAAGAAGTGTGTTGACTACTGACCATAAATTGCCTGTCTACCTAATTGCTACTTGTCCCCCCTCTCCTCCTGCTACTGGTGCTGATGCTGGGAAAGAAACGGAGATGGGATGCAACTGCCAGAAGGAGATCACCTGACTCAGAGCTTCGGTCATAACCTGATACCATTAAAAGGCCATTCATCCATCGTTAACCTCAGTGCACTGCAACAAAAATCCACATAACAGCTGCATGCCCATGCTGTTTTTCTGGGGAGATGTTAAGAATTCTAAACTGATCAAATGTCTCAGCTTTGTCCAGACACCAGAAGAAGCACCAGCCATGTCGGGCCACAACAGCGAAGGAGAATCTTACTGAGATGGTGGCTCTCCAAGTCGAGGCTGAGAGCACAGTTTGCCGAGACTTGGGTGGGGAGTTCTGTGAAAATGCTATTTGCTATGTTATCGTTAACACCACGTCCGGTTTGGACTCTACTTCTTCCCTCCAATGCAGTAGTTTTGCTGAATCCCCGAGGCCTGAGGCAGCCTCACTTGTACCTTAACGAGTCTTCCCACTGCATTGAAAAACAATTTCTAAAACCGCCAAAGATGGAGCAACCTCAGGATTAAAGTACACACAAGGCTCTTATTTCTGGTGGACATCAAGGATGACTGAAATAAAAGAATTTTTAAAATAAAATAGGGATCAAGTCTAGAACAGCACATGGTCCAAAGGAATGGGCTTAACCGATGGTTTCATCCATCAGTGGAACGTGTTGGTGAGACCTGCTTTCAAAACATCCCACTGCTGCCCAAACCGAAGAAATTGTAGGGAATGTAAACCACTTAGGTTAATGGCACTATACCAATTTTAAAACATGTCTTCAATACCGCAGAAGAGCTTAGTAGGGGTTCAGAGGGCCGACTAGTGACCTTTGTGCGAGATGAGAAGCAGGCGTGTCTCAAGGACACCTGGGTGTGACAGTAACAAGACAGAAACAGCGTGCCAGGAGGAGGGATCCCCACCTGCAGGCCCTGTAGAGACATTTGAGGCTATCACCATATCCTCAGGTCATCATGCCACAGAATGACATCTTACACCAATATTATAAAAACATGTTATAGCAAATCAATTTTTAATAATTTCCACTACAAAGTTATTTTCATCAAGCTTCATGTTAACTAGAAGTGATTACAAAACCCCAATTAGTTTAACTCATACAGTGAATACTGGCATTTATTGAACTTATTTTTAAGTGGTAAAAGCTATCAATTTCAACCTCAATTACCTGTCATACTATTCTAGAGGCTGAAAATGTACAGGTTAGTACCAATTACAAATGTTCCCTTCTGACAAGCCATCAAATATTTTTCCAATGCCATGATAACACAAAACAGAGCCCCTGAAACCTGTCATAGAAGGTAAAAGTGAAATTAATACCAACACTTTCTTTTAGCGCTTGCTCTCTAAACGACGATTAACTATATTCAGGACCACCCCTCCCCGCATGCATGCATGCATTCATTCATTCATTCATTCATTTATTTATTTATTTATTTATTTAGAAAAGCAAGCAAGAGTTTATTGCAACAGCAAAAACAGTGAAACAAGGAAGGGCATAGAAGAAGCAACAGGGGAGCCTAGGCTGGGCTGCTTTGGCTCACTGGGAAGTCAGAGAAAAGGGGCCTTGGAGACAGGTTCAGGGGGTTAGCCTGGGACGAGCTGCTGCTGCCCCTTGGTCCCCTGGTTGCAAGTCTCATGGGGTCCCTTAGAGGATAGTGTGGAGGTGCGGACAGGAGGAGGTGGGGAGGGAATGGCACAGTTGTGCTCCCTGAAGGGAAAGTGTGCCTCTCCCTGCTTTTAAGTAACTATTCCCTTTCAAATAAGAAGGGTTTTGGTGTCAATGCCACTGGAACCCAATGCTGGGACTATTCTGGCAGTGCCGGTGAACCCTATTATGGCGCTGGAGCATTTCCCCAGGCTTCCTGCGCATACGCTGGGCCAGAGCTGCCGGAACCGAGTGCCCACCAGGCTCAGCTGTCTTCGCAAATGAATGAGACACAATTGCACAAAGAGCACATGAAAAAAACAGCAAAGTCTTTCTTTAGGTCAGAACTGCACTTGAAGGACGTGATCTGAATCTCACTGCACACTAATGACCACGGAGGTCATGGGTAAATGAGGCGAGGGCCGTGCATTTCCCAAGGAGGCCGAGAAAGAGCGTGCAGGACCACATGGGAAGAAAGGCACTGGAAGCAGGGAGGATGCTCACAGGGCAAGCAGGGGCCAGGAAGGCTCCTTAGGAAGGTGCATCAGAGAGCTGGCACTTCCTGCAAGGTACAATGACCGCACGGAATAGTGGAGCTTTACATTAAGGTAGAGTTCCAACTGTGAGTAGTTCACAAGAAACTTTTTAAAAAAATTAATAATAATGGAAGAGGAAATATTAGTGTCTCACATGAAATATTGAGCAAGTACTGTTTTGAGAAACTTATTTCAGTTATGTACATATATGAGTGTGTGTGCTAAGTTTTTACCTAAAATTAATTTTTCTTTGTGTAACATCATCAAAAGTTTAAAAGCCACTGAACTTATAGCAAATGAAAACCAGCCAGTACTACCAATGGCTGGGGTTTATCCTAGCAATCATTAAGTAGTGATTTTTAAGAAAATTATATCGAGAATTTCTCAAGACAAATGGGACAGAAGTCTGGAGGAATTAGAACATAAGCTACAGAAAAGGAATTAAAGAGTAAAGCTATAGTATGATTTGATGTTTGTATCTTACAAATCGAGGGAAAATGACCACCATGAAATGCATCTCTCCTG